ACTATTTTGACACCTGGCAGCTGAGTTCTTGACATATTTTCTTTCAGCAATGTTTTTTAGATTCAAGAGTATAAGTTGGACACTTTTGTTAAGTGCATTCCTAAGATTTTATTCTTTTTGATGCTACTGTGAATATAAATTTTTCTATTTCATGTTAGTTGGGGAATTAAAGTCTGTCATTGTTTTTATTTATTGCATGTAGTTTTGTTCCTCTATTTTTCTTACACTTTTTTTTTGCCATTAATTTTGTATTCAGCAGAGAGAGGTGGAAGAAAGAATAATTTGGGTTGAAATACCTCAAAGTTATTCCTTTCATATGAAGTTTTCATGAATTTTATTGAATTGTTATTATTTTATTTTGCTATTTGTTTTTTATTTTTATTTTGAAAGAAAAAAAGAGAAAGAGAAAGAGGGAGAGAGAACAGGAGTCTTGCTCTATTGCCCAGGCTGAAATACAATCTAAAAATAGGTATTAAAAACCTCTTTTATGCCGGTAATTGTACTTATCAGTGGAGACAGGAGGGAATAAGGGAAGAAAATAACAAACAGCCTACCAAGATTTCATTTAAGTCTGTGAAATGCTATGCAAATGCTGAAGAATGATTTACTTCCAATTATGTGGTCACTTTCAAAATACGTATAATGTGTTACTGAGAAAAATGTATGTTCTGTGGACCTGGGGTGAAGAATTCTATAGATACTCACTGAATTTACTTGTTGCAGGTCTGAGATCAAATAATAAATGTCTCTGTTAATTTTCTATCTTGTTGATCCATCGAATATTAACAATGGGGTGTCAAAGTCTCCTGCTATTATTGTGCAGGAGTCCAAGTCTCTTTATAAGTCATTGAGAACTTGTCTTATGTATCTGGGTGTTCCTATATTGGGTGCATATATATTTATGATCATTGACTCCTATTGTTGTATTGATCCTTTTAGTCTTTGTTGCTATTAAAGTCTATTTTGTCAGAGACGAAAGTTACAACTCCTGCTTTTTTTTTTCTCTCCATTTGATTGGTAAGTCTTCCACCAAAGCTTTGTTTTGAGTCTTTGTGTGTCCTTGCTTATGAGATGGATCTGGATACAGCATACTGATGGGTTTTGACTTTTCCTTTCTGTGTCTTTGATTGGTGCATTTAATCCATTTGAATTTAGGATTAATATTGATATTTGTGAGTTTAATATTGTCGTTTAATGCTAGCTGGGTATTTTGCCCATTAGTTGATGTAGAGTCTTCATTATGGAGATACTCTTTACCTTTTGGTAAGTTTTTGGGATGACTGATACTGGTCGTTCCTTTCTGTGTGTAGTGCTTCTTTCAAAGCTCTTGTAAAGCAGGCCTGGTGGTGATGAAATCTCTGAGTGCTTGCTTGTTCATGAAAAATTTTATTTTTCCTTCATTTATAAAGTTCAGTTTGGCTGGATATGAGATTCTGGGTTGAAAATTCTTTTCTTTGAGGATATTGAATATTGACCCCCACTCTCTTCTAGTTTGTAGGGTTTCTGCCGAGAGATCTGCTGTGAGTCTGATAGGCTTCCCTTTATGGGGAACCTGACCCTTCTCTCTAGCAGCCTTTAGAATTTTCTCCTTTATTTCAACCCTGGTGAATCTAACGATTATGTGTCTTGGGGTTGCTCTACTTGAGGAATATCTTTGTGGTGTTCTCTGTATTACCTGGAGTTGAATACTGTCCTGCCTTACTAGGTTAGGAAAGTTTTTCTGAATAATATCATGAAGAATATTTTCCAGCTTGGATTCATTCTCTTCATGACATTCAGGTACACCTATCAAACGTAAATTAGGTCTTTTCATATAGTCCCATATTTCTTGGAGACTTAGCTCATTCCTTTTTACTCTTTCTTCTCTAATCTTGTCTTCTTGTTTCATTTCATTAAGTTGGTCTTTGACCTCTGATATCCTTTCTTCTGCTTGATCAATTCTACTGTTAAAACCTGTGCATACTTTGCAGCGTTCTTGCATTATATTCTTCAGTTCCATAATTCACTTATATTCCTCTCTAAATTGTCTATTCTTGTTAGGATTTCGTCAAACCTTTTTTCAAAGTTCTTAGTTTCTTTGCATTGGGTTAGAACATGTTCTTTTAACTCACAGAAGTTTCTTATCATCCACCTTCTGAAGCCTACTTCTGTTAATGGAATGTACTCCTCCATCAGGCCTTGTTCTGTTGCTGATGAGGAACTGTGATCCCCTGTAGAGGGAGAGGCATTCTGATGTTGGGTATTCTCAGCCTTTTTAGGCTGGTTTCTTCCCATCATTGTAAATTTATCCACCTGTCGTCTTTGTAATTACCGACTTTCTAATTAGGTCTCTGAGTGGATGTCCAACTTGTTGATTCCCAACGCTGGAATCTGAGCAACCCACTGTGCCGGCTAAAACAGTGGCATTAAGATTGATGGTGCTTTTCTGCCCGGGAATCTCCAGTCTGGCTTCCTTCTTAGTCCCTCCTTCAATCAGCTGAATAGGCTGCCTTCCCGGAGGTCCAAACATCGACCAAAAGGGGACCCAGTCCCGTTTACTCTGCACCAAGAACTGCTGTGCCGGCCACAAGAGTCGGACTGGCGACCTGTGGGGCTCCTCCGCAGGGAATCTCCTGGTCCGTGAGCAAAAAAATTCGTCTGAAAGTGTGGCATCCTCTCGTTCTCTGTGCTTTCACTAGGAGCTACAATCCCAAGCTGCTAGTGATCAGCCATCTTGGATCTCTCTCCGTTTTGTTTTATTTTTCTAGATAACATCTTCAGGACAATAGTTGCTTGCTTGTTGAAAAAGTTGGTACTAAAGTGTGTAATGTGAAGAGAAGTTCAACCTCCTCTTCTCACCCCACCCTCTGCCCCTGCCCCAGTCACTCTTTCTTTCCCACAGGTAATGGTAAAGATTCTGGGGGAAATCTTTCTAGAAGCTTTTCTACTTTTTCTATGCATTTATTTACACATAGGTTTTGTTTTAAATTAAATCTTTTTTGGTCTTCTATTACTGTGTAACAAGTCAGCAGCACTTAAACAATAGCAATCACTGTATCTTTCACAGCTGGGGGCCAACTGGGTTCAGCTGTTTGTTCTTGTTCAAGAGCTCATGAGATTACAGTCAGATGGTGGCTGGGGCTGGAATCACCTGAAGGTTTGCTCTCTCCCACGTCTGTCTGTTGTGCTGAGAAGACCAAGGAGCTGGAGGCTGGAATGGCAGGGGTTTCTTGGACATCTGTATCTTTTTTTTTTTTTTTTGAGACGGAGTTCGCTCTTGCTACCCAGGCTGGAGTGCAGTGGCGCGATCTCGGCTCACCGCAACCTCCGCCTCCTGGGTTCAGGCAATTCTCCTGCCTCAGCCTCCCGAGTAGTTGGGATTACAGGCACGCGCCACCATGCCCAGCTAATTTTTTGTATTTTTAGTAGAGACGGGGTTTCACCATGTTGACCAGGATGGTCTCGATCTCTTGACCTTGTGATCCACCCGCCTGGGCCTCCCAAAGTGCTGGGATTACAGGCTTGAGCCACCGCGCCTGGCGGACATCTGTATCTTTACATGGTCTCCAGCATTGTGGCTTCAGGGCAGCCAAGACTTTTTACATGAAAGCTCAGAACTTCAAATGCATATGCCTCAAGAGAAAGAGCTGAGTGCAAGCTGTATTCCCCTTTTTTTTTTTTTAAGACGGGGTATCAACATGTTGGTCAGGCTGGTCTTAAACTCCCGACCTCAGGTGATCCGCCTGCCTTTGCCTCCAAAGTGCTTGGATTACAGGCGTGAGCTTCCACGCCTGGCCTATGTATTGCCCTTTTTAACCTAGCTGCAGAAGTCACACAGCATCATTTCTGCTGCATTTTACTCATCAAGACAGGCACTTAGGCCTCCCAGAGTCGAAAGTTGGAAATATAGTTGCCTTTTGGTATGTGTGTCAGAGAGGTTGCAGACATATGTTAGAACCATTACACATAGCCTTGGTTGCGACATAGTAGAATTACTACAATGAGGTTGTATGTATTATTGGTTGACTTGAAATTATATTCTTGAGTTTTGTTGGGTATCTTTTGTTTTGTTTTTTTGTGTGTGTGTGAGACAGTGTCTCACTCTGTCACTCAGATTGGAGTGCAGTGGCATGATCTCAGCTCACTGCAGCCTCAGCCTTCAGGGCTCAGGCAATCCTCCTCCCTCAGCCTCTCAAGTAGCTAGGACTACAGGCATGTACCACCGAATCTGGCTAATTTTTGTATTTTTGTAGACACAGATCTCACTGTGTTGCCCAGGCTGATCTTGAACTTCTGAGCTCAAGCCATCCACCCATCTCAGACTCCCAGCATGCTGGGAGTAGAGGCATGAGCCACTGTGCCCAGCTTTTCTATATTACTACACATGCCTCCACTGCATTCTTTGTTAATAGTTGCCTAGGTTCTGTGATATAGCTGTAACATGATTGAGTTAACTATTGATGAACATTAGGGTGCACCCAGTTTTCCTATATGTCAGATAAGAATGACCTCGTTTACTCATTTTCAAGTGCTTTATTTCTTGACAAAGCTGTTGATGTTTAGATGTGTAAGCGGTCTTGGTTCTCCAACTAGGGAGTGGAGAATTTTCCTGAAATACTGTTTAGACCATTTTACCAAGATTTGGGGGAAGAAAGACTCAGAAATGTCAGCTAAGGTCACCACTTTAGAGATCCAGATATTTTTTCTTATTATAATTACTTTGTACACAAATAATTTTGTTGATCTTTGTAAACAATTTGATTAGTGAATAAACAGAGAAAACTAAACTAGGTCGTGAAATTTCAGAATATTCTCTGAAATCTGCTATCTACTAAGTTTTTCTTCTAGAAGGTGGTAGGTTGGGTTTTTTTGGTTTGTTCAATTGACTGCCACTTCATAGAGCTGGTAAATGTTCATAGGAAAGAGATAAGAATGTAAATACCCTGAATTTCAAAGGTTGTTAAGGTTTGTGAAAAATAGAAAATTTTTTAAAATTTAAACGTGCATTTTATTTCATTTAGGTTGGAGTAATAGATTTTTCCCTATACCTTAAGGATGTGCAGGATCTTGATGGCGGCAAGGAGTAAGTACTACGTTGTACATCACATTTTTAATACAATTCTGGCAAAGGTGGGTCTTCGGGCCTAGCCTAGCACTGGGTCTCCAGAAGGCTAGCGGAGACCCCAAGCCTGGAGGGGTGGTTGGGGTGGGGAATTTTGGGCAGAAGCAAATCCAGATCTGACTGCGTGATTGGGACTCGGGGTCAGGCTGAGTGACTGGGACTCGGGGTCAGACTCTGTGATTGGGCCTGGTGGAGGTGGGCAGGGCAAGTTAGGTGTGTCTGCTGTTTTCACACTCGTGGAGCCAAGAAGCGCGAGGGACAGAGGGCGTTCTGGGTTGGATATGCGCGTTCTGGGTTGGATATGCGCACCCTGGGTGTTTTCCTCCACCTGCAGAACAGGTAATGAGGCTCTTCTCTGCAAAAAAAAAAAAAAAAGATTAAAAAATTCTGGCAAAGAACACTTTTTCTTGTTTTTGCTTTGAGATTTTAGTTTCTGTTTAGTTATTTTTAAGTGCAGAAGCAATGCATTATTCTCATTGTTTAAGGAATTTGGCTCTGCAGAATAGAGTGCGGGTGGAATTTCCCCATTCACACTGTCCCCGCACCTCCATGTCAATCCCACTCCTCCCCTCAGAGGAAGCTACCCTTATGGCTCCTTCCAAGACTGTTCAATGCTTTGCAGGTATTTGTTTGTTGGGCGTGTATTTTGCTTGACCATTTGTTCGAATATAAATGGGCCAGAACTATATAAGTTGCCCTTGGACTTGTTCTTTAATCGTTGTATTTTAGATGTCTTTTTATGCCACTGTATAAGTCTCCCTCACCCTTGATAACAAGAGTATTCTTTTAAAATAAGTTGGGGGGGGTGGACTATAACATACTACCGTTTATGTTATAATAAAAAAAGATATGCATACATATTTATATGTTTTACTGTCTTTTTTTTTTTTTTTTGAGATGGAGTCTTGCACTGTCACCCAGGCTGGATTACAGTGGCACGATCTCGGCTCACTGCAATCTCCACCTTTCGGATTCAAGCGATTCTCTTGCCTCAGCCTCCCAAATAGCTGGGATTATAGGCACCTGCCACCACACCCAGCTAATTTTTTGTATTTTTTGTGGAGAGGGGGTTTCATCATGTTGGCCAGGCTGGTCTGGAACTCCTGACTTTGTGATTCACCCGCCTCTGCCTCCCAAAGTGCTGAGATTACAGTCATGAGTCACTGCACCCAGCCCATATGTTTTATTTTTATATGTATGCATGGAACATTTCTAGATTGGCATATCAACCTTATAGTAGTGGTTGTCTGTGGAGCCAGGCATGGTAGGGAGTTTTCACTGTAAACCCTGGGATCTCATTTGACTATTTCACCTTGTGCATATGTTACCTGCCTTCCAACTCCTTTTTTTTTTCGTAGAGATGAGGGTTCACTGTGTTGGCCAGGCTGGTCTCAAACTCTTGACCTCAGGTGATCCGCCCGCCTCAGCCTCCCAAAGTACTGGGATTACAGGCGTGTGCCAACACGTGTAACCACAAAATAAACTTTAAAAAAAATTTTTTTTTTATTTTAAAGATGGCGTTTCACCATGTTGGTCAGGCTGGTCTTAAACTCCTGACCTCAGGTGATCTGCCTGCCTCGGCCTCCCAGAGTGCTGGGATTACAGACGTGAGCCACCGCGGCTGGCCAAAATAAACTCTAAATGTCAAGAAACAAAAGCTAAAATAAACCGAGTATCTACCAGTAAGGAAATAATTGAATTAACTATGGAACATCCGTAATATTCTACACTGTGGTATATTTTGCAGACAAAAAAAAAAAAAAAAAAGACACGGGTCTATTGTGGGGAAAAGGGGAGGGCCGGTGGGAGGGGGAGGTGGGGAGGGATAGCCTGGGGAGAAATGCCAAATGTGGGTGAAGGGGAGAAAGGAAGCAAAACACACTGCCATGTGTGTACCTATGCAACTGTCTTGCATAGGTACACACCTATGCATATATACACACCTTGCATATATACAAGTCAAACAATTCCTGGTATATATTTTATATTGTAATTATATGTACTATATGTATATTAGATAGATACCATGATTATATGCACATAGAAGGATACTCTGGCTAGGCATGGTGGCTCATGCCTTTAATCTCCACACTTACACAAGGTCAAGTGATTGAGACTATACTGGCCAACATGGTGAAACCCTGTCTCTACTAAAAATACAAAAATTAGCTGGGCATGGTAGCTGGCACTTGTAGTCCCAGCTACTCAGGAGGCTGAGGCAGGAGAATCACTTGAACTGGGGAGGTGGTGGTTCAGTGAGCTGAGATTGTACCTCTGCACTCCTGCCTGGTAACAGAGCAAGTTGCATCAAAAAAAAAAAAAAAAAAAGATACTCCACAGGCTATCAGTATGGGCAACCTGGGAGAGCAGAACAAGTTAAAAGAAAAATATGACTATACCAGAAAACAAATACAGCACCCATGGCATGAACCTGTGTAGGATAATCCCCTTTTATGTGGATTGCATATGGATATATGTATGTAAAGAAATTAGGAGAGCCTTGATTGCCTGATGCTCTATTAAAAAAAAAAAGAGAGAGAGAGAGAGAGAGAAAAAGAAATTAGGAGAACCTAACTTTAAAATGTTAAAGACTTTTCTTTTTTTTTTTTGCCTCACAATCTTACTCTGTCACCCAGGCTAGAGTGCAGTGGCATGGTCATCACTCAGTGTAGCTTCAACCTCCTGGGCTCAAGCAATCCTCCACCTTAGGAGGTGGAGGGACCACAGGAGTAGCTGGGACTACAGGTGTGCATCACCATGCCCAGCTAATTTCTGTATTTTTTTGTAGAGACAGGGTTTCATTATGTTCCCCAGGCTGGTCTTAAACTCCTGGGCTCAAGTGATCCACCTGCCTTGGCCTCCCAAAGTGCTGAGATTACAGCACTTTTTATTTTTATTTTTTTCTTTCTCTGTTTCTGTAGAAATGATGAGCATAAATATATATATATTTTTTAACCCAAACTGCCCTAGACTTTAGACTGATCAGCTTGGTGTTTTGGAAAGTCTCATGCTCTCGTTTCCTTCAGTATAATAAGGGTTGTGTCATCTGCTACTTGCAAAGCCATTTGCATGTGGCAGGTTGGTATTTTCACCTTGCTTGCTTGCTCATCCTGAAACCTTGGTCTGCAGGGAGCCTAATCTCCTGGCAGTCTGGCCCTGGAGGCGCTGGCTACTGTGTCCCTGGCCGGCCTTGCTCTCTGTACTCTGGGAATGTGGATGTTACTAAGCTCTGGTTGTCTCTTGGTTTCTTGAAGACACTGGTACTTCTACAAGGTGATTGGAAGGTTGGGGAACAGTTACAAAGTATTAACCATGAATTTTTTTAAAATTCTCCCTTTTTGTACTCCTTTTAAAAGGCATGAAAGAATTACTGATGTCCTAGATCAAAAAAATTATGTGGAAGAACTTAACCGGCACTTGAGGTAAGACTCTTTTTTTTTTCAATGTGACAGTTACATACTCAGTATCCTATCATTGTTTCATGGAACTTCTTTGAGTTGCCGTATATTTATAAATAACTTGTTTTCAAACCAAGAAAAAAAGCTCATGATTCAGGCAACATTTATTTGTACAAACTGGAGAAGTATGATTTCTTCTTGATAAATGCCTGGGAAATCTTTATTCTGTGCTTTATGCAGTTATATAATACAGAAAATAACTACATTAAACCTTGACTCTCCACTCCTCACCCCACAGCTTTGTGGTTGGAAATCCCTTCATAGCAAGCACTGTTGCTGCTGGGAATTGGCACACAGCACCCAGTGCATTACGGCAGGAAAAAGAGTCAAGAACCACTGGGCTAGGCTCTCCAGAGCAACATACTAGTGATCACAGGCATCTTTATCTTGATTTTTAAATTTTTTGCTGGATGCTGAATATCTGTGGATATGTTTCATGAAATACTAATCCTTGGAGGTATTTGTGGGCAATGCAGAGACATGTCATTCCATTTCTGAGTCCTCTCTGGAGAGTACATTGCATGTTACAGTTCTCCATAGGGGCAGCCTCTGGCTCCAAAAGCCAAGTGAAAAAGCCGACATGTTCCTTCCAATATAGTTAGGGACACATCGCTTTGGGGCTGTTTTTTTATTATTTATTTATTTATTTTTTGACAGGGTATCTCGGCTCACTGTAGCCTCAAATTCCCCGGCTCAAGCAATTTATTCTCCCACCTCAGCCTCCTGGGTAGCTGGGACCACAGGCATGCGCCACCTGTCCTGGCTAATTTTTGTAGAGACAGGGGTTTGCCATGTTGCCCAGACTGATCTCAAACTCCTGCACTCAAGCAGTCCTCCTGCCTCAGCTGCCCAAAGTGCTAGGATTACAGGCGTAAGCCACCACACCCAGCCTGGAGCTCTTCTTAACTGTGCTGTTGGCTATTTTTTGAAAGAGGTTTTCGGTCGATTCCTAGTTTATTGAGAATAGTTATAAGAAATAGGCCAGGCTGGGCGTAGTGGCTCACGCCTGTAATCCAAGCACTTTGGAGGCCAAGGCGGGCAGATGGCCTGAGGTCAGGAGTTCAAGACCAGCCTGACCAACATGGAGAAACCCTGTCTCTACTAAAAATACAAAATTAGCCGGGTGTGATGGCGCATGCCTGTAATTCAGCTACTCAGGAGGCTGAGGCAGGGGAATCACTTGAACCGGGGAGGCAGAGGTTGTGGTGAGCCAAGATCACACCATTGCACTCCAGCCTGGGCAACAAGAGCAAAACTCTGTCTCCAAAAAACAAAAAGATAGATATTGAATTTTATCAAATGCCTTTTAGTGTCCCTTAAAATAATCATGGTTTTTATCCCTTAATCTACTGTGTGGTATATTTTATTAATGGGCATCTTCACACTGGGCCCTTGGGATAAACCCCACTTGATCATTTTTTATTATGATTTTTTTTTTGAGGGGGGAGGAAGGGAGGAAGGCAGGAAGGGAGGGAAGGAGGAAGGGAGGGAGGAAGAAAGGGATAAAGGAAGGAAGGGAGGGAAGGGAAGGAAGGAAATCAAGCAATGAGAGAGACATTGCCGACCTGGATCTAGAGGTTTACAAGTTGATTTCTTTTTTTTTTTAGAGAAGGAAAGAAAAAAAATGAGTAAAGGAGAGGAAGAAAGAGGAAGAGAAAGAGGGAGGGTGAACGGAAATATTGCTTTATTCTGAAAAAAAATGGGTATTAATAATGGCCAATCAATGTTTCATTTAAACCTATGAGTAGGTGTGATGTGGTATTGACAAGAATGTATATTTTGTGTATTTGAAGTGGAGAGCTCTATAAATATTTATTAAGTTTACTTGTTCCAGATCTGAGTTCGAGTCCTTGATATCCTTATTAATTTTCTGTCTCATTGAATCTAAGTCTCTGTGTATCTGGGTGTTAGGATCATTAGCTCTTGTTGCATTGATCCTTTTACCACTATATCTTTGTTGCTTTAAAATCTATTTTATCCGATATTAGAATTGCAACTCTGCTTTTTATTTATTTATTTATTTATTTATTTTTGCTCTCCATTTGGTTGGTAAATCTTTCTCCATTCCTTTGTTTTGAGTCTTTGTGTATCCTTGCATGTGAAACAGGTCTGGATGTAACATGCTGTTGGGTTTTGGCTGTGTCTTTTGATTGGGGGGATTTAGTCGATTTAAGTTTAGAGTTACTGCCATTTGATGTTAACTGGCTGTTTTATCCATTTGTTGATGTAAATTCTTCTTTATGTTGGTGCTCTTTACTTTTTGGTATATTTTTAGAAAGGCTAATACTGGTTGTTTCTTTCTGTGTGTAATGCTTCTTTCAGAAGCTCTTGTAAAGCAGGCCTGGTGGTAATAAAATCTCTGAGTACTTGCTTGTTCATAAAAGATTTTATTTTTCCTTCAGTTGTGAAGCTTAGTTTGGCTGGATATGAAATTCTGGGCTGAAGGTTCTGTTCTTTGAGGATGTTGAATATTGGCCCCCACTCTCTTCTGGCTTGTAGAGTTTCTGCTGAGAGATCTGCTGTAAGTCTGATAGGCTTGCCTTTGTGGGTAACCTGACCTTTCTCTCTGGCTGCCCTTAGTATTTTCTCCTTTGTTTCAACCCTGGTGAATCTAACGATTATGTGCCTTGGGGTTGCTCTTCCTGAGGAATATCTTTGTGGTGTTCTCTGTGTTCAGAACCTGGGGTTGAATATTGACCTGCTTTGCTAGTTTAGGAAAATTTTCCTGAATTATATCCTGAAGAGTATTTTCCAGCTTGGATTCATTCTCTCCGTCACATTCAGGTACACCTATCAAACGTAAATTTGGTCTTTTCACATAGTCCCACATTTCTTGGAGACTTTGCTCATTCCTTTTTATCCTTTTTTCTCTAATCTTTTCTTCACGTTTTATTTCATTAAGTTGGACTTTGACCTCTGATATCCTTTCTTCTGTTTGAACAATTCGAGTGTTTAAACCTGTGCATACTTTTCGGAGTTCCTGTATTGTATTCTTCAGTTCCATTAATTCACTTATATTCGTCTCTAAGTTGTCTATTCTCAATAGGATTTCATCAAACCTTTTTTCAAAGTTCTTAGTTTCTTTACGTTGGACTACAACATGTTCTTTTAACTTACAGAAGTTTCTTTTTTTTTTTTTTTTTTTGCGGGGGGAAGGAAGGCAGAAAGGAAGGGAATAAGGATGGTAGGGAGGAAGGAAGGGATGAAGGAAGGAAGGAAGGGAGGAAGCGGGGAAGCGGGGAGGGAGGGAGGGAGGGAAGGGAAGAAAGGAAATCAAGCATTGAAAGAGACATTGCCGACCTGGATCTAGAGGTTTACAAGTTGATTTCTTTTTTTTTGAGAGAAGGAAAATTAAAAAAAAAAAAAAAAGTAAAGGAGAGGAAGAAAGAGGAAGAGAAAGAGGGAGAGTAAATGGAAATATTGCTTTATTTTGAAAAAAAATTGGGTATTAATAATGGCCAATCAATGTTTCATTTAAACTAATGGGTAGGTGTGATGTGGTATTGACAAGAATGTATATTTTGTGTTTTTGAAGTGGAGAGCTCTATAAATATTTATTAAGTTTACTTGTTCTGGATCTGAGTTCGAGTCCTTGATATCCTTATTAATTTTCTGTCTCATTGAATCTATGTCTCCTATCTGGGTGTTAGGATCGTTAGCTCTTGTTGTTGCATTGATCCTTTTACCACTATATCTTTGTTGCTTTAAAGTCTATTTTTTCCGATACAAGAATTGCAACTCCTGCTTTTTATTTATTTATTATTTATTTTTGCTCTCCATTTGGTTGGTAAATCTTTCTCCATCCCTTTGTTTTGAGTCTTTGTGTATCCTTGCATGTGAAACAGGTCTGGATGTAACATGCCATTGGGTTTTGGCTGTGTCTTTTGATTGGGAATTCAGTCCATTTAAATTTAGGGTTACTGCCATTTGATGTTGACTGGCTGTTTTATCCATTTGTTGGTGTAAATTCTTCTTTATGTTGGTGCTCTTTACTTTTTGGTGTATTTTTAGAAAGGCTAATACTGGTTGTTTCTTTCTGTGTGTAATGCTTCTTTCAGAAGCTCTTGTAAAGCAGGCCTGGTGGTAATAAAATCTCTGAGTTCTTGCTTGTTCATAAAAGATTTTATTTTTCCTTCAGTTGTGAAGCTTAGTTTGGCTGGATATGAAATTCTGGGCTGAAGGTTCTGTTCTTTGAGGATGTTGAATATTGGCCCCCACTCTCTTCTGGCCTGTAGAGTTTCTGCTGAGAGATCTGCTGTAAGTCTGATAGGCTTGCCTTTGTGGGTAACCTGACCTTTCTCTCTGGCTGCCCTTAGTATCCTCTCCTTCGTTTCAACCCTGGTGAATCTAACGATTATGTGCCTTGGGGTTGCTCTTCTTGAGGAATATCTTTGTGGTGTTCTCTGTATTACCTGGGGTTGAATGTTGACCTGCTTTGCTAGTTTAGGAAAATTTTCCTGAATAATATCCTGAAGGGTATTTTCCAGCTTGGATTCATTCTCTCCGTCGCATTCCGGTACACCTATCAAACGTAAATTTGGTCTTTTCACATAGTCCCACATTTCTTGGAGACTTTGCTCATTCCTTTTTATCCTTTTTTCTCTAATCTTTTCTTCACGTTTTATTTCATTAAGTTGGACTTTGACCTCTGATATCCCTTCTTCTGCTTGAACAATTTGAGTGTTTAAACCTGTGCATACTTCTCGGAGTTCCTGTATTGTATTCTTCAGTTCCATTAATTCACTTATATTCGTCTCTAAGTTGTCTATTCTCAATAGGATTTCATCAAACCTTTTTTCAAAATTCCTAGTTTCTTTACGTTGGGCTACAACATGTTGTTTTAACTCACCGAAGTTTGTTATTATCCATTCCTTGAAGAGTGATTCTGTCATCAGGAGGCGCTCGTTCTCCATCAAGCCTTGTTCCATTGTTGATGTGGAACTGTGATCATCTTTAGAGGGAGAGGCGTTCTGACTTTGAGTATTCTCAGCTTTTTTACGCTGGTTTCTTCCCGTCATTGTAAATTTATCCTCCTGTCCTCTTTGAAATTACCAACTTTCAGATTAGGTCTCTTGAGTGGACGTCCGGGTTGTTAGTTCCCAGGGTCAGAGCAGCGGCGTTAAAACTGATGGTGCTTTTCTGCCCAGGATTCTCCTGTCGGGCTTCCTTCTTGTTTCTGTAGTAGGCGACTCTGCCTTCCCGGGGCTCCAAACCCCGGTCAGAAGGGGAACCTGTCCCGTTTACTCTGTGCTGAGTGCTGCCGCGTCAAGGTGCCAGCGGAACCGCTGCGCCGACCACGAGAGTCGTGCTGGCGACTCGTGTGTTTCCACCACTGGGGGATCTTCTGCTCCGTGAGCGACCAGACTGTCTGAAAGTGTGGCGTCCTCTAGTTCTCCGCGCCTTCCCTGAGAGCTGCAATCCCGGGATGTTAGCGATCGGCCATCTTGGATTGTTCCCAGAAGTTTCTTATTATCCATTCCCTGAAGTGTGATTCTGTTATTGGGATGCGCTCTTTCTCCATCAAGCCTTGTTCCATTGTTGATGGGGAACTGTGATTATCTTTAGAGGGAGAGGCATTCTAATTTTGAGTATTCTCAGCCTTTTTACTCTGGTTTCTTCCCATCATTGTAAATTTATCCTCCTGTCGTCTTTGAAATTACCAACTTTCAGATTAGGTCTCTTGAGTGGACGTCCAAGTTGTTAGTTCCCAGGGCCAGAACAGCGGTGTTAAGACTGATGGTGCTTTTCTGCCCAGGTTTCTCCTGTCTGGCTTCCTTCTTGTGTCCGTAATAGGCAACTCTGCCTTCCCGGGGCTCCAAACCTTGGTCAGAAGGGGAACCAGTCTCGTTTACTCTGCGCCGAGAGCTGCTGCGCTGAGGTGCTGTCACAGCCGCTGCACCGGCCTCAGGAGTCGTGCTGGGGACCCGTGTGGGTCCTCCAAACCTCAGTCAGAAGAGGAGCCAGCCCTGTTTACTCTGCTCCGAGAGCTGCGGCGCCGAGGTGCCGGCGCTGCGCCGGCCGCAAGAGTCGCGCTGGCGACCCATGTGACTCCTCCACTGGGGTTCTTCTGCTCCGTGAGCAACCAGAATTTGTCTGAAAGTGTGGCGTCCTCTAGTTCTCTGCGCTTCCACTGAGAGCTGCAATCCCGAGATGTTAGCGATTGGCCATCTTGGATCGTTCCTATTATGATTTTTTTGAGACAAGTGGCTTACACTGTCACCCAGGCTGGAGTACAGTGGTAGAATCATGGCTCACTGCAGCCTCCACCTCCCTGGGCTCACGTGATTTGCCTACCGTAGCCTCCCAAGTAGCAGGAACTACAAGTACACACCACCATGCCTGGGGTCTCAGTTTGTTGCCCAGGGTGGTCTCAAACTCTTGTCCTCAAGCGGTCCTCCCCACTTAGCCTCCAAAGTGCTGGGATTATAGGCATGAGCCACCTTGTTCAGCCAGGATTATAGTTTTAATAATTCAATTATCCTTTTAATATGTAACTTGACTTTCTGGGAATTTTATAGTTTCTTTCTCTGCCATCATATCAGGCTTATGTAGCATTGCAAAATGAATTAGTAAGCTTTACCTTATGCCTGGGAACAGTTTCTAGGTCATGGGCATTATTTGTCCCTTGAAAATATGAAGTAGCCGGGCACAGTGGCTTACACCTGTAATCTCACACCTTATCCCTGTCATACAGGAGGTGGTTAGATTACCAGAAATCAGGAGTTTGAGACCAGTTTGGCCAACATGTTAAAACCCTGTCTCTGCTAAAAATACAAAAATTAGCTAGGCGTGGTGTTGGGCACATGTAGTCCCACCTACTTGAGGCTGAAGCCTGAGAATCGGTCGAACCCAGGGAGCAGAGGTTGCAGTGAGCCAAGATGCTGCCACTGGACTCCAGCCTGGGCGACAGAGCGAGACTCCATCCCAAAACAAAAAAAATGAAGATAAAGCATTTATGAGGCAGTGGCTTACTAGCGTTTTAGTTGTTAGTTCATTTAGGTTTTCTTTGGAGGATATATCTTTCTTTGGTTATTTATATTTTTAAGAAAAAATATAAAATTTTGGGGGTATTTTCTAAGTTGTCAAGTTGGCACAGAATTGACTCTTAAAATTTTTCATTCCCTCTGTATCTTTGTTTTTTTTCCCTTTTTCATTTTGTGTCTTTTTATTTTTATATTTGCTCCTGGTTCCTAAACCTTGGTTCATTAGCCCTGCCAAGTTTATTTCTTTGTCCCCTACTCACTGGCAGCAGGGACTGGTCTTTGGCAGCATGGCCTGTTGCCCAGAAGTACAGGCTCTAGAGCCAAATCGCCTGGGTTCAGATGCCAGCAGCCCTTTGCAGATGTGTAAACTTGAGTTAATTCTTTTATGTAAAATTATGGCTGTTTGTCTGTAACATAGGCTAACAATAGGATCTACCTCATCAAATCGTGGGGAAGATTAAATGAGTTGATGTATTTAAAGTGCATAGAGGCCAGGCATGGAAGCTCATGCCTATAATGTCAGCAGTTTGGGAGGCTGAGGCAGGAGGGGGATACCCTGAGCCCAGGAGTTCAAGATTATCCTGGGCAATGTAGTGAAACCCCACCTCTACAAAAAAATAGAAACTAGCTTTACATGGTGGCAAGGTGGGAGGCCAAGGTGGGAGGATCACTTGAGCCTGCGAGGTCGAGACTGCACTGAGCCATGATCACACCACTGCACTCCAGCCTGGGCAACAGAGCAAGATCCTGTTTCAAAAACAAAAAAGAAAAAAAGTAATACATATTACTTAAAGAATATTTTTTAAATGGGGAAGGTATAAAAGGTATTTTAAAATATCCTGGATCTTTTTACCCTAAAATACCAATACCTTGTTAATGAATTTTATTTTAGGTATGTGACTGCCAGCACATTTTGGTTTCTGTCACCTTTTGTGTTGGGAGAAAAAAATTATCTTTCTAAATGACTAAAAAAGAAATAGACCAGGCACAGTGGCTCACACCTGTAATCTCAGCGCTTTGGGAGGCCAAGGCAGGCAGCGTCACCTGAGGTCAGGAATTTGAGACCACCCTGGCAAACATGGTGAAACCCTGTCTCTACTAAAAATACAAAAAAATTAGCCAGGTGCAGTGTCACATACCTGTAGTCTTAGCTACTTGGGAGGCTGAGGCTGGAGAATCTCTTGAACCCAGGAGCCAGAGGTTGCAATGAGCTGAGATCACTCCACTGCGCTCTAGCCTGGGCAACAGAGTGAGACTTCGTCTCAAAAAAATATATATATATATATTTTAGGGATAAAACTTATTGAAAAGTATGTTGCATATGTATATTTAGAATTCTCATCTTCTCTGAGTTAATTGGAGACTCCTTTGCCTTTCCATTTAATACAGGAAATCTAGGAATCTCTCTTATTGTTTACGGGGTGAGAAAACAGTCAATTTTTAGAAGTTTATGTTTACCTAATATTATTTTCTACAGCTGCACAGTTGGGGATCTTCAAACCAAGATAGATGGCTTGGAAAAGACTAATTCAAAGCTTCAAGAGGAGGTTTGTAAGTTTTATTGAAATTTTTAGACAAAACAGAATGACCCAAGGTTAAGAGAAATGGGGCAGTCGGTCTGTGTTAAGTAGAGCTTCTTGCTGGTGGAAAGGGGACTTGTGAGCCACCAGTTGCCCCATGTGGGACAGGAGAATGTCTGTGTTCTGCCCTGTCCGAGGTGTTCCATAAGACACTGCAGCTGATCACAAGCCAGTTCTGAGTGACTTCAATTTTATCACCTCAAAGTCATCCCATAGAAGGAAATGCTCTTTGGGAAAGCCCAGCTTCTGTTGCGGAAGTGCCGTGTTGTCCTCTTTTTCTGCCTTCCTGTGATGCCATATGCCCCCTGCTGTCCAGAAAGCACAGACTCTGTCATAAGGAATAAGTATCCTAGCCCACCCCTTCTGCTTTGGCCTCCGGAGCGTGCAACCAGCCTCCCCACAGTGCGGTCTTTCTCTGTTTCCTCACTAGGAAGAGAGAATGGAAGGACAGGACAAAGGAGGGCTGAGGCCGAGGAAGAGAGCTTGCTGTTAGCTGCCCGGCAGGCTCCTTGGTGGACACATCTTGTCTCCTGTTAGCAGGAGGAGGGTGCTCTTCTGAGGCTTTCCACAGGTAGCTGTTCCCGGCTGCGTAGGCCTCCCACCTGGAAGAACGAGGGCTCTGAGAGGGACTTGAGAAGGAACACCTCCACAGCATGGAGGCAGGTTACAGCAGAAAGGAGAGCCTCAGAGCACACCTCTACAATGAGAGACCCCGTGTAAGGCTCCCTTTATGCTGACTGCTCCTTCCTGAGGCACCAGCCCTGAAAGGCTTTCAGGAAAGGCACTCATTTGTGTGAGTAGAAGGAAATTCAAGACAGTATCATAGATGGGGGTGTCATGGGAGAAACTTCATGGAACTTAGAATTGGAGGCTTCACAGTTGCCTTGGTAGATATTAGGTAGATCAGTCGTTGAGCGTCACTTTTCTCACCTCCAAATTAGGTAATAATACATACTTCACAATATTGTTGTAAAGACTAAGATTAATATCCTGTAAATGTGCTTAGGATAACACTTGGCATGTGGGAGCACTCCAGAGTTGTTTGATTTTAGAACAAGTAGATTCACTGTATCTCAGACAAGATGGCGTGCTTTGGTGAACATCCAGTTTAACTTTTGAAACTAAACAGAGTTATGTGGGGTCGTTTTGCTTTTTGAGACAGGGTCTCACTCTGTCATCCAGGCTTGAATGCAGTTTCACAATCATAGCTTACTGTAACCTCAGACCCCTGAGCTCAAGAGACCCTCCTGCCTCAACCTCCTTAGTAGCTGGGACTCTAGGCACATACCACCAACACCCGGCTAATTTTTTAACTTTTTGTAGAGATGGGATCTCACTTTGTTGCCCAGGTTGTTCTCAAACTCCTAGGCTAAAGTGATCCACACACCTTGGCCTCCCAAAGTGTTAGGATTACAGACATGAGTCACCGCGCCCAGCTTGGGTTATGTTTTCTTTAAAGGCAAATTGATGTAATAGAAAATGTGTTTCTGCCAGGTGTGGTGGCTCATGCCTCTAAATCCCAGCTCTTTGGGAGGCCAAGGTAGAAGTCTCACTTGAGCCCAGGAGTTTGAGACCAGCATGGGCAACATGGCAATACCCTGTCTCTACAAAAAATTTAAAAATTAGTTGTGGTGGCACGCACCTGTACTCCTAGCTACTTGGGAGGCTGAGGTGGGAGGATCACTTGAGCCTAGGAGTTTGAGGCTGCAGTGAGACAGAGTGACACCCTGTCTCAAAAAAAGGAAAGAAATATGCTTAGTCAAAAGCATAGCTCTCTTCAGGGTGCGCTCTCTGCATCTCCAGAGAGTGGAATGGGAATTAGCTTATGGTTTTTGCCTGCTTCTTCCCTTTGAGCAACTAACACTCCTTTTAAAGCCTTGATGTTTCTTATTTTGGGCACAGCAATTATGTGTAGAAACCCCAAGGGTCGGGCGTGGTGGCTCACGCCTGTAATCCCAGCACTTTGGGAGGCCGAGGCGGGTGGATCACAAGGTCAAGAGATCGAGACCATCCTGGTCAACATGGTGAAACCCCGTCTCTACTAAAAATACAAAAAATTAGCTGGGCATAGTGACACGTGCCTGTAATCCCAGCTACTCAGGAGGCTGAGGCAGGAGAATCGCCTGAACCCAGGAGGCAGAGGTTGCGGTGAGCCGAGATCGTGCCATTGCACTCCAGCCTGGGTAAATGAGCGAAACTCCGTCTCAAAAAAAAAAAAGAAACCCCAGGCCTGGGTTCTAAGTCTAAGTAGAGAGTAATTCTGAGGAGTTTTCGATATTGTTGACAGAGAAAGTGAGGCATTAGGTGTTTCTAGGTCCCTCCACTAGTGAATGAGAGCCCAGCCAAATACCAAGGACAGAGATCTTGCTTCTTGCTCCCCAGCTCCACCTTTCTCTCTGTATGCTATGTAATGAGACTGGAATGAGGAGGGGCTGGTTGGTGTGTTTATTCATCTGCCCTGCCTCTTGTGACAGGCTCTCCTTAGGCAGGTCCCTGACAGTGTCCTGCTCCCTTATGCTTTTCCTTCAGCCATGAGAAGTCCTTCCAGAGGAAGAAGAGGGCCTCTCGGGCATATCTTCAATGATTTGTTTTTTATTCCTCCCTACAAATTCAGTAATTCTCCCTCTAGGGATTTAAATCTACTTTTACCGATTATTATCTAGAAAAACTGGAAAGAGCCGGGCACGGTGGCTCAGGCCTATAATCCCAGCACTTTGGGAGGCTGAGGCAGGTGGATCACGAGATCAAGAGATCAAGACCATCCTGGTCAACAAGGTGAAACGCCGTCTCTACTAAAAATACAAAAATTAGCTGGGCATGGTGGCATGCGCCTGTAGTCCCAGCTACTCGGGAGGCTGAGGCAGGAGAATTGCTTGAACCCAGGAGGCAGAGGTTGCGGTGAGCCGAGATCATGCCATTGCACTCCAGTCTGGGTAACAACAGCGAAACTCCGTCTCAAAAACAAAAAACTGGAAAGAATGAAGAGTCAGGAAAAAAAGCCCATGATCCCTTTACTAAGTGACAACTGTTCCTATCATTTTATTATTTGAAATACATTGTCTCCATCTTTTTCTTTTTTTTGAGACAGGATCTGTCTTTGTCACCCAGGCTGGAGTGCAGTGGTACAATCTTGGCTCATTGCAACCTCTGCCTCCTGGGCTCAAGCCATCCTCCCACCTCAGCCTCCTAAGTAGCTGGGATTACAGGCATGAGACATCGTGCCTGGCTGATTTTGTATTTTTTGTAGAGATGGAGTTTCACCATGTTGCCCAGGCTGGTCTTGAACTCCTGGGCTCAAGCAATCTGACCACCTCAGGCTCCCAAAGTGCTGGAATACAGGTGTGAGCCACTGTGTCCAGCCACTCTGTCTTTTCTTAACCATTTTTAATGTAGTTGATTTTTTTTTTAATACAGGTGAGAACATACCGTATAACCTTTTTTCCGTATTATTATATCTTAAGTATGTTCTCAAGTCATTAAAAGCTTTTGTAAACATTTTATTGATTACATAGTTCTGTTTTATGCTTTCACTATGATTTAACTATTTCTCTCTAATAGTGAACATTCAGGCTGTTTCTAATTTTTTGTGTTTATAAATCTTTGTCCACATTAAGCAGTATGCTATCATTTTTGTAAAGAGGGAGAAAGTTTGGAGAGGGCAAAGATGGCTCGGGGCAAGGGTGGAGGAGAGATTGTACTATATACATTTTCATGTCTTTGGAATTTAGAACCATATATTATTACCTGTTGAAAACAAGTAAATAAAATATCAAACCTGTGAACAAACATTGTCAACTGTGAAGATACAAAATTAATGTTAGTTTTTATTTGAACAGTAAGATTAATTTTGATGTTGAGAACTGTTAAAATTTTCCTTAATCAGCTTTCAGCTGCAACAGACCGGATTTGTTCACTTCAAGAAGAACAGCAGCAGTTAAGAGAACAAAATGAATTAATTCGAGAAAGAAGTGAAAAGAGTGTAGAGGTGAGAAATTGACCTTACAGTTGGACAGCAAGTTCCTTACTCAGACACACCTGCTGTCAATCTCAAGCTCATAGCTTAATAATGACCCAGTCTTCTGAATGCAAAGGTACCTTGCTTGATGTCGGAAAGTGCCTCTCACTGCCATCCCTGCCCACATCACTCTGAGACCACCTGGATCACTTGGTTGGGGACTCCCTGCCTGGCCTATGGGCCTTTGCATGCCAAAGTTCCTGCTAATTCTTCAGCATCCACTCATATGCCATGTCCTCTGTGTTGCCATCCCAGGGGCCATGGGCGGGCCTGGGCCCTCCTCCCACATTCCCATGGCTCTCTGTGTCCTTCCATGATAGAGTCCATTGGCTGTTTTGTAGAATTGTTGGCTTGCAGCTCTGTCACCCGATAACTTGAGGATAGAGACCATATCTGATTCACTTTTAAATTCACTCAGTGCTAAAAACATGTTCATAAGTACTGGATGATGGGTTGAATGAGAGCTTTTTTCCATGAATGGAGCCTTGTTCTGTTTTAAAGAAAATTAAATTTAAATAGCTTTATGAACGTAACTTTTTTTTTTTTTGAAACAGAGTCTTGCTCTTTTGCCCAGGCTGGAATGCTGCGGCAGGATCTCTTGCTCACTGCACCCTCCACCTCCCGGGTTCAAGTGATTTTTCCTGCCTCTGCCTCCCTAGTAGCTGGAATTACAGGCTCATGCCACCACACCCAACTGATTTTTGTATTTTTAGTAGAGACAGAGTTTCGCCATGTTGCTCAGGCTGATGTCAAGCCCCTGACCTCAAGTGATCCACCTGCCTGGGCTTCCCAAAGTGCTGGGATTACAGGCATTAGCCACTGCACCCAGCCTATGAACTTACTTTTCGAATATCTGTTAACTTACTCTCATTCTTTATCTTCAAGTTCCAATATCTAAAATTTTAACCTTTTTCTATCATGCTTAAAAAATAAAAATTAACCTACTTTTTAAAAATTGTGGTATATTTTTAAATACTTTGTAATTAGCTTGCTTTCCATAAGCAAACAGTTCCTCTTGGTGTCCTTGTTTGATATAGATAACAAAACAGGATACCAAAGTTGAGCTGGAGACTTACAAGCAAACCCGGCAAGGTCTGGATGAAATGTATAGTAATGTGTGGAAGCAGCTAAAAGAGGAGAAGAAAGTCCGGTTGGTGAGTGTGCAAGACTACTGAGTGTCTTTAGAAAGAGTTTCCCAGTAGCCCTCTAAGTTAATTCTGTCAGCACTTTTCACAGACATGCTTAACCCTGCTGATGCTTACAGAAAGTCAGAAGCTGTTTATTTAAAAAAAAGCCTACATTTACAACTCACTTGTGGATTGTCACTTACCTTTCTTTCTGTTTTATAAATTTTGTTCAGGGATTGCTATGAGACCAGATTCATGGTTTCTTAGACAATCACTTCTCAATCATAGCCTCTGGCCTATCTATTTCCACTCAACCTGTGCATCAGTGACAGAAGTTCTTTATAAACACTGTTCTTGTGTCTGCTTTATTTCTTTGCTTGTTTGCATGGATGCAGGGAAACATGTCTTGGGTCAGGACAGAACCATTTCAAAATGGTTGCACTTTTATTGCTGTAAGCTAGCAAACCATTCCAGAAATTCTAACATTGCACTATCAGATCCCCACCAGCACTCAAACAAGACAGATACTCTTTGAGACCATGCATTCTGATCTGTGGGTGTGGAAAACATGGTTGCTAGAACCTAGACTCACCCAGCCACTGACCAGCTTTCTATTGACTTGATATGGAGCCAGCTTTAACTGGACAGTAAGGAAAAGAGGGAAACACCATCAAATCCTGCTCCAGACAGACTCTTTTCAATCTCCCTCACCTATTCTCACCTTCAGTTTGTTTTGTTTTGTTTTTTTCTTTAAGACAGTCTCACCCTATCACCCAGGCTGGAGTGCAGTGGTGTGATCTCAGCTCACTGCAACCTCTGCCTCTCGGATTCAAGCAATTCTCGTGCCTCGGCCTCCTGAGTAGCTGAGATTACAGGCGCACGTCACCACACTGACTAATTTTTGTATTTTTAATAGAGACGGGGTTTTGCTTTGTTGGCCAGGCTGCTCTCACCTGCCTGGGCCTCCCAAATTGTTGAGATTATAGGTGTGAGCCACCCCTCCCAACCTTCAGTTTGTATTTTGTTTTTTGTTGTGGTTTTTTTTTTTTTTTTTTTTTTTGTCATGAAGTCTTGCTCTGTCACCCAGGCTGGAGTGCAGTGGCACAATCTTGGCTCACTGCAACCTCCACTTCCTGGGTTTAAGTGATTCTCCTCTCTCAGCCTCCCTAGTAGCTGGGATTACAGGTACCCACTACCGCACCCAGCTAATTTTCTGTATTTTTAGTAGAAATAGGGTTTCACCATGTTGGACAGGCTGGTCTCGGACTCCTGACCTCAGGTGACCCACCCGCCTTGGCCTCCCAAAGTGCTGGAATTACGGGTGTGAGCCACAGTCCATCGCCAGGCCTTCAGTTTGTATTTTAAGCATTGCCTAAGATTCAACCTCAATTAAATACATTTGTGTGATCTATTTTAATAACATTTTTCTTGTAAATATCCTTTTAAGGAACTGGAAAAAGAACTGGAGTTACAAATTGGAATGAAAACTGAAATGGAAATTGCAATGAAGTTACTGGAAAAGGACACCCATGAGAAGCAGGACACACTAGTTGCGCTCCGCCAGCAGCTGGAAGAAGTCAAAGCGATTAATTTACAGATGTTTCACAAAGCTCAGGTGGGAGTTGGCTTTGTGTCCATAGCACAGCCTGGTTTCTACTGCTTGCCTGTCTTGTGTCATTCTTATAGAACAATCGAGTATACACATAGAGCCCTTTGTATGTGTCAGACCTGTTCCTAGGATCTATTACGTGTTACTGATTTTTATCATCACAGTAGTCCCTGAGAAATGGGGGGAAATGTAAATGACAAGGCAGAACCAAGTGACTAAATTACATGCCCCTGGTGACATAGCTTATAAGGAAAGGTCTTTTTAACCCAGACCCAAACTTTGTCCTTCCATCTTCACTGTCTCTCCACTGTCTGTTTCCTTCTATTTCCATGATTCATTGTTTATACCAAGCATGGAGGAGTGAATTAAAGATGTAATTTAGTATTGTCTTTTCAAACTTTACCATTAAGTTAATCTCACACAGGTAACTACTTGCCTCTCCGTGTCATTTCAGGGTGGTCCAGAGGAGCTATCACAGACAGAATCAATCATGCCAGAGTTTGAAAAATGCCATCTAAAAATTAGAAAGATTTTATTGCCCAGAACCTACCCAGAAGGGCACCATTCTGCATCCTTCTCAAAACTTTTATTTGGGCCGGGCACTCACGCCTGTAATCCCAGCACTTTTGGATGCCGAGGCGGGCAGATCGAGGATATCGAGACCATCCTGGCCATGGTGAAACCCCGTCTCTACTAAAATACAAAAAAAAAATTAGCTGGGTGTGATGGCACGCGCCTGTAGTCCCAACTACTCAGGAGGCTGAGGCAGGGGAATCACTTGAATCTGAGAGACGGAGGTTGCAATGAGCTGAGATTGTGCACTGCACTCCAGCCTGGCAAAAGAGCAAGACTCCATCTCAAAAAAAAAAACAACTTTTATTTAACATTTCTGGTTCCTATTTTCTTGCTGAAACAGTCCCATTTCATTTTCCATGGATATAGCTTTACTCTTCCTATAACATCTATGTCACAGATAATATGAGACAGCAATAATAAACTTATTTTTTCCTGTCATTTTAAAACTTAATCGGCTGGGCACAGTGGCTCATGCCTGTAATCCCAGCACTTTGGGAGGCCTAGGTGGGCGGATTGCCTGAGGTCTGGAGTTCAAGACCAGCCTGACCAACATGGAGAAACCCTGTTTCTACTACAAATACAAAATTAGCCAGGCATGGTGGCGCATGCCTATAATCCCAGCTACTCGGGAGGCTGAGGCAGATAATTGCTTGAACCCAGAAGGCAGAGGTTGCCGTGAGCCAAGATCGCACCATTGCACTCCAGCGTAGGCAACAAGAGCAAAACTCTGTCTCAAAAAAAATATGTATTAATCAAGATTATAATAGCAACAGTAAAAATTGAAGTAAAACAAAAGAAGAAAGGAAGAATAAGCATCTCTTCCCCAGTGATAAAAAAATTTTAAGGGAAGAAAGAAAATAGTTTCACCTTTCTGACAAATCATCTATTTTAATTTTTTTAAGGTTTTCTTCTGGTATTAATTAGTAAATAGGCATAATATAAATGTGTGTTTGTTAGGGAAAACTGAACTGCTGTAAGAACTTAGCAGACCCTAAAATCTCTATTTGTTGACCAAATTTCCATGCTTAAAGGCAATGAAAAAAAGAATACACACACATTCCCATGTATATGGGAATTTGTATTTCTGTTATGTAATGGTTGCAGGATGGGCATTTCAGACTAGCACTTTTGTTCTCCGCAGTCATTCAGGGCCCCAACTGTCTGGGCCACTCTAGTTGTCACCATTCTTGCCATTGGAAGGTAGAGGAAAAACAAAAGTCCAGAGCCGGGACTTCCTCTCAGGAGTGAGACAGAAGTTGCACACATCGCTTCTAGTCATTTCCATGGGAAGGGATTGGTCACCAGTGCCACACTTGTCTCCTAGGGGGTCCTGGAAGCTCCTTTTTTCCTGAGCTACAAGCCTGGGGAAGGAAAGAGAGATGTTGGTAGACAGATCATTGTCTCTACCACAGTCGGCCCACGGAAGCTGCTGTGACATCCCAGCTGGACCCTGCATCCTCCTCAAATCTGCAGTCCCTGGCTGATGTGTAGCCCTATCCAGCAGCCCATGGGACTTGTGGCCCAGAAGGCTAGCATCTTTCTCATGTTAGCCCATCACCCATAGCATGAAACAGTGGAGCAGAAACAAGACATACATAGTGGAAGTGCCCGTGTGGAAAAGGGAGACACAGCAGTTGCCAGCTCATGGGGCAGGAACCACGAAGGCTGCTGCACCTAATGGTGGGCTCTGTTTTTTAGCATGCCTGGCCACCCTGGTTCTGCCTTTGGAAGAATTTTTTGATCAGCTGAGGCCACATCTGAAGAGGGTTCAGAGCATACTCTCCTTGGGGGCTGTGCAGCTTCTTCAACCAGCTTCTTGCTGGGATCTCTTGGCCAGCCTGACTGTTGTAGTAGGGATCAGTCACAGGTGTTTTTCAGACCAGACTCGATGCCTTTCATAAGGCAGTTGCCTCAGTCGCAGCCTCTGTTCAGTTTACTTCTCCTTAGTCTGTGTGTTAGTGACCAGAGTTCTTCCCTGAACTCTATTGTTCTTGCTCCTGTCTTATTGCTTTGCTTCTTTGCTGTGTGTGTCTGTGTGTCTTTCCTTCTCCCTCTTCCTCTGTCATGTTAATGAGCGGTCATCTGAAACAACAGATTTAGGTGTGAGAGAAGCACCTTTGAAACAGTCTTCACTGCACCGCTGTTCTATAGCACCTTCATTGCTGTTTTTAGTCTTACCTATTTCAGGGTCCAGAAGCAGTTAACGTTTCTGGTTCTGTGAGGTCCCTACCGTTGGCCTCTTTATTCCTGTTCATCTCTCCATGCCAGCCAGCTAGCTGACTTCCGCCTGTGCATGGCCCTTCCTCACAACACCTTGTTCATACAGCAGGATAGCCAACACACACTGTCCTGGCTCCTGTAGCTCTTCCCAGGCATTGCTGGCACTGCTGGCCTGTGCTGTTTGCCAAGCTTAGGCAGGTGACAGTTTTACCCAACACTTTGCCATAGCTAACAGGGATCACCAGCTTTATGGCTGCCAGCGTCTATTTTGACAGCACCCACCCCTGCCTCCCAAGTCAGTTCCACATATGGTCAGTTTTCCTTTTTTTGAGACAGGGTCTGGCTTTGTTGCCCACGCTGGAGTGCCATGGTGAGATCTCAACTCACTGCAACCTCCACCTCCCAGGTTCAACCAGTTCTCCTACCTTAGCCCCCCGTGTAGTTGGGATTATAAGTGCATGCCACCATGCCAGCTAATTTTTGTACTTTTGGTGGAGACAGGGTTTCACCATGTTTCCCGGGCTGGTCTTGAACTCCAGAGCTCAAGCAGTCTGGTCCGCTTCAGCCTCCCAAAGTATTGTGATTACAAGTGTGAGCCACCGCACCTGGCCCAATATGGTTGGTTTTCATTCGAGAAACGCCACACACCGAGTGACCCTCTGGTACTGCTAGGATTGTATCCTCTTGTTTTCACTTCAAACCCTTTTCCCCCTTTGGGCTTCCAATGTAGATGGTTGGGTCAATCATACTCCCTTTTTTTTTTTTTTTTTTTTTTTTTTTCTTTTTGAGAGGGAGTTTCACTCTTGTTGCCCAGGCTGGAGTGCAATGGTGTGATCTCAGCTCACTGCAACCTCCAGTCTCTACCCTCCTGGTTCAAGTGTTTCTCCTTGCTCAGCCTCCCAAGTAGCTGGGATTACAGGCATGCACCACCATGCCCAGCTAAGTTTTGAATTTTAGTGGAGATGGGATTTCACCATTTTGGTCAGGCTGGTCTTGAACTCCTGACCTCAAGTGATCCACCCGCCTCCCAAAGTGCTGGTATTACAGGCATGAGCCACCGCGCCTGGCCTATCTTAATATTCTTTACTGTTGTTGTTGATTTCTCCCACAGCATAACAAGAAATATATATTTGGTTTCTGCCCCTGGTTTCTAGTATGCAGCTTCTTAAACCCTTAGATACTCTAGAGCGATAAGAGTCTTTTGTATGCTAACAACAGGTATAGCTGGGGGCTTCTAGGTAGCTTCAGGATGGTCACTGGTCGCCCAGCAGGATTATAGAGTTATAACTTTTCAGCCGCACTCCTGGAGGGAGGAGAGAAGGACTGGAGATTGAGCTAATCACCAGTGATCAGTGATTTAATCAGTCATGGCTACATAATGAGATCTCCCTAAAAACCCTAAACAACAAGGTTCAGAGAGCTTCTGGGCTAATGACTCCCTCAAGGTGCTGGGAGGGTGGCGTATTCGAAGAGATGTGGAAGCTCTGCACCCCTTCCCCCATCCTGTGTCCTGTGTGTCTCTTCCATTTGGCTGTTTCTTTATAAGAAACCAGTAATAGTAAAGTGCCTTCCTGAGTTCCGCAGCCATTCTAGCAAAGCTGAGGAGGGGGTTGTGGGAACCCCCAGGGTATAGCCACTTGGTCAAAAATGCTGTGGAAATCTGGGATTTGGAACTGGTGTTTCAAGTGGGACAGTCTTGTGGGACTGAGCCCTTAACCTGTGGAGTGTGCAGTAACTCTCAGTAATTATGGTAGTATCAGATTTGAATTCTCAGACATCTAATTAGTGTCAGAATTGGTCGTTGGTGTGGAAAACACAGTTGGTGTCAGTAATGTGACTGGAACAGCTCACCCTCACCTTTATGTTCTACTTGCTTTATTTGGGTTTGCTCTGTAGCTCATTTTCAACTTCTGAAATGCACACTAAGTGCATTGGTTTTGTCTGTTTCATTAAAAAACTTATTTAAAGTTAAAAATTACCCACAAGATCTACTTTAGCTGTGTCTGTCAAATTGTGACTGAAGTATTTCATAATCACAGAAGCACATTTTTCCCATTTTAGCATCTCTGAAATTGAGATGCATCTTTTAGTCAAGATGGCATATCCTGTTTCAATCAGCACTGTTTTCCTTTCTTAGTTGTGTATGAAATTATGGTGTTTCCTAGACTCAGTGGCATCTTCAATGCAGTGAAATAGCATATGGTATTTGCATTCTTTTAGCTCTAAGTATTTCATAATTTCCCCCCTTTTTTTTTTTTAGCTCAATGCTTTCTAGTAATATGCCATTTAGTTTTCAGATGAGACGTGTTTCTGGCTATCCTTTTGTTGTTAATGTCTGATTTTGGCTGAGCATGGTGGCTCATGCCTATAATCCCAGCACTTTGGGAGACCAGTGCAGGTGGATCATGAGGTCAGGAGATCAGGACCATCCTGGCTAACACAGTGAAACCCCATCTCTATTTAAAAAAAAAATACAAAAAATAGCCAGGGCGTGGTGGCAGGCGCCTGTGGTCCCAGCTACTTGGGAGGCAGAGGCAAGAGAATCGCTTAAACCTGGGAGATGGAGGTTCCAGTGAGTCAAGATCATTCCACTGCACTCCAGCCTGGACTATAGAGTGAGACTCTGTCTCAAAAAAAAAAAAAAAAAAAGGTCTGATTTTATTACATTAAGGTCAGAGAATACAGTCTATGTCATTTTTCAGGAATTTATTAGGGCTTCTGTCTTCAGGCTTTTTTTTTTTTTTTTTTAAGACAGAGTCTCCCTCTATCCACACTCACTTCAGCCTCTGTCTCCTGGGCTCAATCGATTCTCCTGCCTCAGCCTCCTTAGTAGCTGGGATTACAGGTATATACCACCACACCCAGCTAGTTTTTATAGTTTTAGTAGAGACAGGGTTTCACCATGTTGGTCAGGCCAATCTTGAACTCCTGACCTCAGGTAATGCACCCGCCTTTGCCTCCCAAAGTGCTGGGATTATAGGCATGAACCATCGCTCCCCACTACCCCCCTGCCCCTGGCTTGTCTTCAGGTTTTTTAAAGGTGTCTCTTATAAACACTCAGGAACACACAGTGCCCCCTCCTGGCCACTCTGTATCTGTCATGGCTAAAAGCTGTACTCGTAGAAAATCACACAGATGTAGGTGTGAACCCAGTTCCACTCCTCATTTGCTCTTAACCTTCATCCAGTATCTTTCTTCTGAGCTTCCATTTCTCAGTGGGAAAAGTGGGGTGAGAGCATGTTCCTTGAGAACCCTTCAGGGCTGAGATGAACTAGTGGATGTGCCTGGCACATGGGGACAGCTGGGGAACACTGAGTCTAACCTGACTGGAATACACTGTCAAAAAGGAGCAGACACTCCAGGACCTCCCTCTCTGCCTTCCCTTCTGTTGTCAAAGCTGGGAGCCTTGACTCAGTTTGTCTTCCAGGGCTCTGGAGAAGAGCAGCAATTAGCAGAATACTCTTGAAAGTGTCACGAAGGTACAAGGTTAAAAGCCCCATTTGTAATCCAGAGCATGCTCAAGGATGCGGGACAGGCAGAGTATGAAGCCCTCCTTTGCTTTTTAGAATGCAGAGAGCAGTCTGCAGCAAAAGAATGAAGCCATCACTTCCTTTGAAGGAAAAACCAACCAAGTGATGTCCAGCATGAAACAAATGGAAGAGAGGTAATTACCTCCCACTGGCAGATATTCTCTGGAAGTATACTGAGTATTCCCTGGGCCTGGAAACTTATTCAGAGTCCCTCTCAGAAGTGCAGGGGTAATGGGATGACTGTCCTTCAAGCAATAGTCTTACCCAACAAGAGGACTAGATCAGCAGTCTTGCCTACCGTTTTTTTTTTTTTTTTTTTTTGAGACAGTCTCACTCTGTTGCCCAGGCTGGAGTGCAGTGGCATGATCTTGGCTCACTGCAATCTCCACCTCCCGGGTTCAAGCCGTTCTCTTGCTTCAGCCTCCCCAGTATCTGGAATTACAGGCTGGAACCACCACTCCCAGCGTTGCCTAGCTTTTAATCAACCTTTTGGCCACTGCATCAGATTCTCCTGTTGGTGCATTAGAACTGTACTATGAACTCCTTGACACTATCACATTTAAATACCAGGTCAGCAATTATTCAGTATAAAGTTTTAAAAAAGACCCAGACAAATAAGACCAACTTCTTTTTACGAAGTTGCTGAGGCAGTTCAGTGGAGAAAGGATAGTTTTGTCAATAAATGATGTTGGGTGCTGGGCACAGTGGCTCATGCCTGTAACTCCAGCACTTTGGGAGGCTGAGGTGGGAGGATCACTGGAGGCCAGGAGTCCAAAACCAGCCTGAGCAACAGAGGAAGATGCTGTCTTAAAAAAAAAATTATGTGGCCGGGCTCAGTGGCTCACGCCTATAATCCCAGCACTTTGGGAGGCCGAGGCAGATGGATCACGAGGTCAAGAGATCAAGACCATCCTGGTCAACAAGGTGAAACCCCGTCTCTACTAAAAATATTTAAAAAAATTAGCTGGGCATGGTGGCGCGCGCCTGTAGTCCCAGCTACTCGGGAGGCTGAGGCAGGAGAATTGCTTGAACCCAGGAGGCAGAGGTTGCAGTGAGCCAAGATCGCGCCATTGCACTCCAGCCTGGGTAACGTGCGAAACTCCGTCTCAAAAAAAAAATTATGTTGGAGCAATTAGCTATTCCATATGCCAGAAAATGAACCTTGGCCAGGTGCAGTGGCTCACACCTTTAATCCCAACAGTTTGGGAAGCCGAGGTGGGTGGATCACAGGATCAGGCGTTCAAAACCAGCCTGGCCAACAAACAGTGAAACCTCATCCCTACTAAAAATACAAAAAAAAAATTAGCCAGGTGTGATGGCACATGCCTGTAGTCCCAGCTACTCAGGAGGCTGAGGCAGAAAAATTGCTTGAACCCGGGAGGCTAAGGTTACAGTGAGTCGAGATGGTGCCAATTGCACTCCATTCTGGGCAGCAGAGCAAGACTCTGTCTCAAAAAAAAAGAGAAAGAGAAAGGAGCGACACAATCCCACCACACACCTGTTAGAAAAGCTACGGTTTCTTTTTTTTTTTTTGAGACAAAGTTTAGCTCTTGTTACCCAGGCTGGAGTGCAATGGCACAATCTCGGCTCACCGCAACCTCCGCCTCCTGGGTTCAGGTGATTCTCCTGCCTCAGCCTCCTGAGTAGCTGGGATTACAAGCACGCGCCACCATGCCCAGCTAATCTTTTGTATTTTTAGTAGAGATGGGGTTTCACCATGTTGACCAGGATGGTCTCGATCTCTTGACCTCGTGATCCACCCGCCTTGGCCTCCCAAAGTGCTGGGATTACAGGCTTGAGCCACTGCGCCCGGCCAGCTACGGTTTCTTTAATGACAATACCAAGTGCCAATGAGGACACAGAACAAATGGATCTCTCATACGTATATTATTGGTGGGAATGCAAAATGGCACAACCACTTAGGAAAACAGTTTCTCAAAAAGCGGAACAGCCTCTTACCATATGATCCAAATAGAAGTGAAACTTACGTCTACGCAAAAACCAGTACACATGTTTATAGCAGCTCTGTTCACTACTGTCAAATACTAGAAGCAATTACAATGTTCTGCTCTAGGTGAGTGGATAAACTGGCACATCTGTGCAGTGAAATACAGCTCAGCCATAAAAAGGAATGGCAGGGAGAAAAAAGGAATGAACCATTAATATACACAGAAACTTGGATTGATTGCAAAGATATTCTGAGAAAAAGCCAGTCTCAAGGTTATATAAAGTATAATTACATTTATATTACATTCTCAAAAAGCCAAAGCCATATTGTTGCAGAACAGATGAGTGGTTGCCAGGGGCTGAGGTGGGAGACTGTGTGACTTCAGAGGGGCAGCACTTGGGAGTTTTGGGAGTGGTGGAACTGTTCTGTATCCTGATTGTAGTGGAGCTGAATCTCCACATGTTAAAACTCACAAGAGTTAATTTTACTGTGTGTCAATTTTTAAAAGTTCAGACAGCAAAAGTATGCAAAAGTCTCCTTTCCTTACAAGATTTGCTTCATTTGTGCTCTTCTTGCTGGTGTTGCATCCAGGTTGCAGCACTCAGAGCAGGCAAGGCAGTGGGCCGAGGATCGGAGCCACAAGCTGCAGCAGGAGCTCAGTGGGAGGATCGGCGCCCTGCAGCTGCAGCACTCCCAGCTGCATGAGCAATGGTAGGGAGCTGGCAGTGAGCCTAGGCTGGGGCATGGCTCAGAAGGGACTGGGAAGAATTGGGGGCAGGTAGTGTCCTGCTTCAGCATTCATCCCTGCAGGTTTAGTATATTCCTAGGGAGCTTCTCGTCACGGGGCTCCTCACGTGGTCCAGCTAGCCTCCAGGAGGTCTGGCCACTCTCAGACCATGGTCCCAGGTTGTAGCCTTTATCATCCTTGACCAGCCCTTTCCAAAAAAACAACTTTGTCAGTGTTAAGCAGAAAGCCACCTTTCACCTAGCCTTTGCTGATGCAGGCTTCATATAATTTTATGCCCAGTTTGTCTATAGATTTTTTTAACAGTCTCACTCTGTCATCAAGGCTGGAGTGCGATGGCGCAGTCTCTGCACCTGCAACCTCCGCCTCCCAGGCTCAAGCAATTCTTGTGCCTCAGCCTCATGAGCAGCTAGGCCTACAGGTGCAAACCAAAATACCCGGCTATTTGTATTTTTAGTAGAGACAGGCTTTTGCCATGTTGGCCAGGCTGGTCTCAATCTTCTGGCCTCAAGTGATCCACCCACCTCGGCCTCTAAAACTGCCAGGATTACAGGCGTAAGCCACCATGCCTGGCCTTTAGATTTTTTGAGATGGTTTAAATGCCAAGCTAAAAGCCTGATGTTGAGAGAAGAGAGAGAGTTATCTTTATTCCCACAAAGAGAAGACTCCAGGGGTCCAGCAGTGCCCCCAGGGCCACTGAGCTGGTACAAGGGAGGAGTCAGGTTCAAGCTGAGGCTCACTCCTGGCCTCCCTCCAGGATCCTCCATTGTCAGCCTGGCCACAGGATATAGAAAGCAGAATGAGGCTGGGTGCAGTGACTCACACCTGTAATTCCAACACTTTGGGAGGCCAAGGCAGGGGGATCACAAGGTGGGCGGATCACAAGGTCAGGAGTTCGACACCAGCCTGGCCAACATGGTAAAACCTTGTCTCTACTAAAAATACAAAAAATTAGCCAGGCATGGTGGTGGGTGCTTGTAATCCCAGATACTCGGGAGGCTGAGGCAGGAGAATCACTTGAACCCAGGAGGGTTCAAGGATCTCTGCAAGGAGGGTTCAAGGATACAGTGTCCCTGCTCACCTGTATGCAGAGGTTGCAGTGAGCCGAGATCACGCCACTACACTCCAGCCTGGGCAACAGAGCAAGACTCCATCTCAAAAAAAGAAAAAAAGAAGAAAGCAGAATGAATTGGCCAGAATGGAGTGGCTCATGCCTGTAATCCCCATACCTTGGGTAGCCAGAGTGGGAGGATCAGTTGAGCCCAGGAGGTTGAGGCTGCAGTGAGCTGAGGTTGCACCACTGCTCTCCAGCTGGGGTGACAGAGCTAGACCCTGCCTCAAAAAAAAGAAGCCTTTCTTCAGGTCTCTATGTCGGGAGATTCTGCTTATGTGGTCCTAAGTGTTTTAGAGCTCTCTTTCTTCTCTCCTGCATTAAGTGTCCAGTGTGTCCCTGCAGGCTTTTCTCTCCCTGGTTTCTGCTCTTTTTTGTGGAAGGGTAGGTGACCTGGGGGAGAGGGAAGCCTTGCCAAAGGGTTTAGATGCTCAAGTGCCAATTCTGAGAGTTCTCCATTTCCTGGGCAGTGAATTGGGTTGTGGATCTTCCATGAAAATCTCCCACTGGGACTAACTCAAGTTCCTTTTGGGAAAACAGCTCAAGCCTAGAGAAAGAATTGAAATCAGAAAAAGAGCAAAGACAAGCTCTTCAGCGTGAATTACAGCACGAGAAAGATACTTCCTCTCTACTCAGAACAGAGCTACAACAAGTGGAAGGATTGAAAAAGGTGAGGTGGGCCAGCCTGGGAGAATTGAGTCTGGCAGCCCCAGAAGCCCCTGCCGTGCTCCTGGCAGGCTCCTCTCTGCCCACTTTGTGTGGGAGCCAGGCAGCTCCAGGGTGTGGGAGGCTGTTCCCCGCCTAGGGAGCTCCTGTTTTAGGATCTTAAGGCAAAGACGAAGCCTAAGCCATTAAGCCTGCTGGCCAGCTCAGATAAAGGTGAGTGCAATGAAGAGAATAAAGCAGAATAGTGTCCTCAGTCGCCTGTGTGCAGAGGTCTGGGTAGGGAGCAATCTGGTGAGTAGAGGCTCTAGTGAGTGATGCCCTGCAAAGTACCTCTGGGCAGAGACTCCAGGAGCAGACAGAGGAGTGTGAGGAGCAAAGGGAAGGCCTCAGGTGGCAGGCAGGAGGGAGCCCTTCATGGGCCCTGTGAGCAGGGGGAGGAACGTGAGTTTTATTCTGAGCACAATGGGAAGCTGCTGGAGGGACAGCATCCATTTCATTCGTGGACAGTCATTGGCCACTGTGTGGAGAGTGGGTGGTAGACTTGCAGGAGAGGAAGCTGGGAGGAACCAGTAAACATCTTCAACCACATGCCAGTCCTCACCTCAGCCACTCTGCCCAAGGTCAGGTCATCCCTGGGAAGCAGACTGACCCCACCCTCCACTTCCTCAACATCACCTCAGTCTCCTGGAACACCCTCTCACTTGGAGGCATAGCCTGGATGCTGTGGGCTTCAGAGGGCAAGAGAAGTAGGGTCCAGCAGGCCCTCACTGTCTGGCTGTGGAGTTGGACCTCCCAGGAAACTCTGAGGCAGTGTGAAAAACATTTGCCCTAATGTAAAATCATCGGCTGTCTTTCCAGAGGGGAGGAGGCTCTGCGATCCTGAACAGAGCTGACTGCAGCCCGGGTTGCTATGGGGGCTCCTCTCTTGTGAGGATGGGGTGCTGTCTTCTCAGGCCCCTGCACTACTGAGTGCTGCAGAGCAACTGAGCCCAAACTGGGCTTCTCTAGGCACCTTCCCAGGAGGGGCCTTCAGGGCTGGAGTGACTTCTGGACCTGGATTTTGTTGCATTGAATGTGGTAATGGACACCGCTGCACAAGTCGAGTGAGTCAGGAAAGGCCCTTTTGATTTCTAGTGGAAAGTGCCTGGAGTTGTTGGGGAAGGGAGAGCTTCCTCAAGAGCCAGGTCAGGCTTGGAGAGTGAAAGGGAGGAAGGGGAGGGCAGAAGAGGACTTTTAGAAAGTTCTGCCTCATCCTGGGGCATACCTCCTTTATTCTGCTTCAGAATGCTTTGGTCAAAAGATTTGAATTACACAATTACTGCCTGCCCCAACAATAGGAACAGAACAATGTCTAATATCCCCTGTGAAGCCCAAGCGTGCCTCATGAGTGTGTGCACAGAAGCAGAAGCTGCAGCACAGAGTGTGCAGGGAGCTGCCCCCTGCTCAGGTCTAAGCTCCACCGTTGCTCTCCATGGTCCCAGAAACCCCAGTTACTTTCTGGGTTTCCGTCCTGGCCTTACCAGCCCGGCTCAAGGTGTCCTGATCCCAGGTGTCAGTGCCATTGTCCCTGGGGAGCTCCCTCCCTGCAGGGCTCCTCACATGGTCCAGCCAGCCTCCAGGTGTTTTAGCCATGAAATGAGGCCCAGATGACCCTCTTCATCACCCTTGACTAGTGCTTTCCAAAAAAGCAGCTTTTTGAGAGTTAAACAGAAAACCACCTTTCAAACTATTCTTTGCTGATGCAAGTTTCATGTAATTTTGTGTAGGGTTTTTCTATAGATTTTTTGAGACTGCGATCTGTTTTGTAAAAAGTTTATCTTTTGAAAAGAAGCTCAAATAGGCAAAGCCTCATTTGTCCTGTGAGGGTAACTTTTTTTTTTTTTTTTTTTTTGAGATGGAGTCTTGCTCTGTCACGCAGCGTCGACTGTAGTGGCACAATCTCAGCTCACTGCAACCTTTACCTACCCAGTTCAAGCGATTCTCATGCCACAGCCTCCCAAGTAGCTGGGATTACAGGCATGTGCCACCATTCCCTGCTAATTTTTCTATTTTTAGTAGAGGAGGGGTTTTGCCATTGGCTGGGCTGGTCTTGAATGCCTGACCTCAGGTGATCCACCCACCTCAGACTCCCACAGTGCTGGTATTACAGCTGTTTGAACCACCGCGCCTGGCCAAGGGTAACTTTTTTTTTTTTTTTGAGATGGAGTCTCATGCTGTTGCCTAGGCTAGAGTGCAGTGGCATGATCTTGGCTCACTGCAACCTCTGCCTCCCGGGTTCAAGCAATTTTTCTGCCTCAGCCTCCTGAGTAGCTGGGGTTACTGGCATGTGCCACCACACCCAGCTAATTTTTTGTATTTTTAGTAGAAATGGGGTTTCACCATGTTGGCCAGGCTGGTCTCGAACTCCTGACCTCAAGTGATCCACCCGCCTCAGCCTCTTAAAGTGCTGGGATGATAGGCATGAGCCACCGCACTCAGCTACTTGTGAGGCTGAGGCAGGAGAATTGCTTGAACCCAGGAGGTGGAGATTGTAGTGAGCTGAGATCGCACCACTGCACTACAGCTTGGGCAACAATGCGAGACTCCGTCAAAAAAAAAAAAAAAAAAAACTTGTAATCCTCTATCCAGCAGCATCTGGTTGGTTTGTTCATTTTAGGAGTTGCGGGAGCTTCAGGACGAGAAGACAGAGCTGCAGAAGATCTGCAAGGAGCAGGAACAAGCCCTCCAGGAAATGGGCCTGCACCTCAGCCAGTAAGAACCCTACTCCCCTCATCTGCCTCTGCCAGCACGCCAGTCTACCCACCACATCCCTCAGACCCCAAACCGACCTCCTTTTGGCAAAAGGAGGGTGGGCTGTTTAGGAGTCCTATCCGCTGTTCACCAATGAGCTTTCAGCAAGCTAAGCCTCAGCGGGACCCATCACTGATTTGTGCTAACCACATGGGTATGTTAGTCAGCTCTTAGTTAATTCATTGAGCACATTCATTCCTAGTGACCAGGACACTCATGTTCCTTAGCTTCATATCCAGGGCCTTAGGGAACAGATAGGTAATGAGAGGGTTGCTTGATCAGCCTACAGTCAGGCCAGAGGGAGCATGGCTTGTTTGAGAATGGAAGCCTGGCATGGGTGGCGGTGCACTCACCGGCCTTGCACAGCACAGCCCAGTCCCCTTCCTTTCTGGGAACTGGCCATTGCATCTGCCAGAGTCTGTCTGTCTGCTGTCGGTGCTGGTAGTTCTGCTCCCCTCCCACTTGACAGCTCTCCTCCCTAATGTCCCAGTCTGGACACATTGCTGTGGATACCTGGGCCTTGGGGTAGATCACACTGCAGATGGTAGAACTTGTCCATTTGTGTGATGATTGCATTTTCAACAGAATGGGTGGCTTTTTCTCCTCGAGTCAGGACTCATGGTTGCAAGTAACAGAAATCCAACTCAAAGTGGCTTAAGCAAAAGAAGCCATCAGGAATCGGTCTCTGTCTCCTACCTCTGCTGTCCTGTCTACCTCACAGGTGGGTCTGGATCATGCAGGGGCAAAACAGCACCCAGCAGGGCCATCTGTCAGAGGAACAAAGTCTCTCTTTCTGCATAGCTCCTAAGATGACCCGAGGTTGACTCTCTGCTCCCCAAGTACCTGTGTCTGACATAAGCACTGTGACCAAGGAGATGGCCTCGCGACCTCAGCACAGCCTGGGCTCAGGTCCAGCACTGCATACATGTGACCAGAAAAGGTCCACACATGGAGACCAAAATGAGAATCAACTTGAAACACACTAGTGTATAGACATGTGCAGCCTTAGAATTTTTCTCACAGTTTAGAAATTCTGAGAATCTAGTACTATTAAGAAAATGGGCTGGGCACAGTGGCTCACACCTGTAATCCCAGCACTTTGGGAGGCCAAGGTGGGTGGATCACAAGGTCAGGGGTTCCAAGACCAGCTGGCCAACATGGTGAAAACCCCGTCTCAACTAAAAAATACAAAAATTAGCTGGGTGTGGTGGCACGCACCTGTAATCCCAGCTACTCGGAAGGCTGAGGTAGAGAATTGCTTGAACCCAGGAGGCAGAGGTTGCAGTGAGCCGAGATCGAGCCACTGCACTCCAGCCTGGGCAACACAGCGAGATTCTGTCTCAAAAAAAAAAAGAAAGAAAAATAGGCCGGACACAGTGGCTCACACCTATAATCCCAGCACTTTGAGAGGCTGAGGCAGACAGATCACCTGAGGTCAGGAGTTCAAGACCACTGTGGCCAACATGGTGAAACCCTGTCTTTACTAAAATTACAAAAATTAGCCAGATGTGGTGGCGGGCGCCTGTAATCCCAGCTACTCAGGAGGCTGAGACATGAGTATGGCTTGAACCTGGGAGGCAGAGGTTGTAGTAAGTCAAGATTGTGCCACTGCATTCCAGCCTGGGTGACAAAAGTGAGATTACTGCTCAGAAAAAAAAAAAAATATATATATATATATATATAGCTGGGCAAGGAATCTGATATCTCTGGTGGGAATGTGGTCTGCCAACTCCCAGATACAGGTGTTGCCCACTCACCATCTCTCCTACACCCCCTACCTTTTTAGACCAGTTCATGGCTGCTGCCCCCTCCCCTCCCGCCCTCTACCCTGCCTGCTGCCCACTTGACTGAATGCCCTATGCTGCTCTCTTCTGGCCTGTCAACTTGCCATGCTCTGGCCCCTGCCCTCCCCAACCCCCAGGGAACTCCTTGAGCAGAGCAAGGCCCGGTGTCTATCCCAATCCTCAGAGCGTAGGCCAGCTCTGAGCGCATCCCAAGAGCACTCACCAGAAGCAGACATGGAACACAGGCTGGCGTGGAGCTGGCTTCTGGGGGTTGCAGCCAGTGTTTTCCTCTTTACATTAGATGGACAACAAGGCAGTGTCAACAGGTCCACTCCTAGTGGACCACAGACCTCGAAACTGTGGATGGTCTCTAATCTTTAAAATATATCATTGCTCTTTGTGTCTGCCTGGTGCTATGAGCTCACCTAGCTTCTGAATCCCAGTGTGAGCTGCCTGGCCACTGTTCCCTCACAGCAAGTGCTGTGGGTGTCACATCATCAGGTGTATGCAAACCCAGAAAGGACTGCCTGAGGAGTTGCTTTTGTGCTCTCTCCCCTTTTCCCTTCTTCCTCTTCCAAGCCTATATCTGTTGACAGAGATGGCAAAGCCTCTTCGCAGACCCCTACATTAGCTACAGGATAATTTTCCAGTTTCATTATCTTGGGACATCTGGATTCTTCCTAAATTGTGTTTCCCAGAGTTCTTATATGTTCAGTTTGCCATCTTGACATAGCTTCCTGAGGTCTGTCCATCTGGGCAGCCTCTTTTGATCCTGTAAATATGCTGGCCTATTTTCTGTTTCTGCAGCCAGACCAGGAAGGGAAGGAGCTGCCTCTCAATCATTAGTAAAAGCCACAGGGTTTTTTCTAAATGCCTTAATGCTGTTTCCTAATCCCTCCCTTAGAAGTCTAGCCTGTGTTTCCCAGAGAACTGGCATTTTGTCACCTAGATTAGTCTAATCTGATAATAGTTCAGATTAATCTCAGTTTTGTTTTTTTGTTTTTTGAGACAGAATCTTGCTCTGTTGCCCAGGCTGGAGTGCAGTGGCACAATCTTGGCTCACTGCAACCTCTGCCTCCCAGGTTCAGGTGATCTGCCTGCCTCAGCCCTTCTATTAGCTAGGATTACAGGCATGTGCCACACTGCCTGGCATATTTTCATATTTTTAGTAGAGACAGGATTTCACCATGTTGGTCAGGCTGGTCTCAAACTCCTGACCTCAGGTGATTCACTCTCCTCAGCCTCCCAAAGTGCTGGGATTACAGGTGTGAGCCACTGCACCTGGCCAATCTCCATTTTTAAGAAAGACTTAGGTCAGGTTGGGCACATTGGCTCACACCTGTAATCCCAGCACTTTGGGAGGCCGAGGCGGGTGGATCTACTAAAAATACAAAAATGTGGCAGGTGGCTGTAATCCCAGCAACTTGGGAGGCTGAGGCAGAGAATTGCTCGAACCCGGGAAATGGAGGTTCCAGTGAACCTCCTGCATTCCAGGCCGGGTGCGGTGGCTCAAGCCTGTAATCCCAGCACTTTGGGAGGCCAAGGTGGGTGGATCACGAGGTCAAGAAATCGAGACCATCCTGGTCAACATGGTGAAACCCCTTCTCTACTAAAGATGCAAAAAATTAGCTGGGCATGGTGGTGCATGCCTGTAATCCCAGCTACTCAGGAGGCTGAGGCAGGAGCATTGCCTGAACCCAGGAGGTGGAGGTTGCGGTGAGCCGAGATCGCGCCATTGCACTCCAGCCTGGGTAACGGGCGAAACTCCGTCTCAAAAAAAAAAAAATCCTGCATTCCAGCCTGGGCGAAAGAGAGAGACTCCTTTGCAAAAAAAAAAAAAAAAAAGTAAAAGAAAGGGCCGGGCACGGTGGCTGACCCCTCTAATCCCAGCACTTTGAGAGGCTGAGGCAGGCGGATCATGAAGTCAAGAGTTCGAGACTAGCCTGACCAACATGGTGAAATCCCTTCTCTACTGAGAATCCAAAAATTAGCTGGGCGTGGTGGCGCATGCCAGTAGTCCCAGCTACTCAGGAGGCTGAGGCAGGAGAATCGCTTGAACCCAGGAAGTAGAGGTTGCAGTGAGCTGAAATTCCGCCACTGCATCCCAGCCTGGGCGACAGAGCAAGATTCTCTCTCAGAAAAAAAAAAAAAGTACAAGAAAATTACCTGGGATGACAGGTTGTGAGCACCTGTCATCCCAGCTTCTTGGGAAGCTGAGGCAGGATAATTGCTTGAACCCAGGAAGCAGAGGTTTGCAGTGAACTGAGATCACACCACTGCACTCCAGCCTGGGCGACTCAGCAAGCTGGGCATGATGGCTCGCACCTTTAGTCCCAGCTACTTGGAAGGCTGAAGTGGGAGGATCGCTTGAGCCCAGGAGGCCAAGGCTAGTGACCTGTGATTGCACCACTGCATTCCAGCTTGGGCAATAGAGCAAGACCCTGTCTCCAAAAAAAAATTAGACTGTTTCCCCAAATTGCACAAACTGCTCATTTTATTTGCCATAGTTCTGCCAATTTAGACCATGTTCAGCCCTCTTACAGAAACAAAGGAATTGTTGTTCTGATGCTAACAAGAATGGAGCAAGAACAAATGACTGTGCCCTCTGAGCCTGCCCCTTCCAAACAGCAGGCAACAGAATGTAGGCCAGGGAGAAGCCTGCAGACTCAGGTTCCTGCTGCGGAGAGCAGTAGAGACTAGTGCAGAACAGGGCCAGGCCTTGGACTTCTGGCCTTAGGCGAACCTCTTGCCTCAGCCTCCCCCAAAATCTTTTCAACCCCTGCAGGCTAAGTGGTGTGTTTTTGTGCCAGTTGCAGCCCTCAGGCTCAGCCTCAGCCCTCAGCAGACATGGGGGCCAGTGTGATGAGGCAACTCTGGGATTGTACAAAGGCAGAAGGTATTTTAGAACATCTCATATTCTGGGTCTCCTCACAAGTCCGTTATCCTCATGGAGCTAGTCATGAACACTGGCTGTGTTAGGGATTCAGGGCCTCGCTCTCTCTGCTATGATATGGCCTTTTTCCCCTTAGGTCCAAGCTGAAGATGGAAGACATAAAAGAAGTGAACCAGGCACTGAAGGTACTGGCTTGCTAAGAACGACCTCACTGTCAGCTTGCGCTGATTGCCTATGTGCTTGTACATTTAAGCATCCCAACAGTCAGGTGAGAGTGTGTGGTTGAGGCAGTGGTGGTGATGACATATTTATAGAGAAGCCAAATGCTGCTCAGAAATGTGTCCCTCAGCTGAGAGGACAGTGATGACAGGTGGCAGGGCCAAAGCTGAACCTAGGTCTTCTGACTCCAGTTCTTCCGCCATGAGCTGTGCTTTGACAATAGGCTTAATGGGTATTCCTAAAGGGAAGCAGATGGCAGAGAGGAGAGACCCTCTCTCACAGATGTCTTTAAACAGTGAAAACCAGGCCCTTCTGTTGAAGTCAGAGGCTGGAGGCCAGCCAGCCCCACTGCAGTGCCCTGTGCCATTGCTAGGAACCACTCAAGCCAAACCCTGAGTTGGGCCAGGTTTCCACACCGTTTTGGGGAGGGCAGAATGACACATTCCACTAAAGAGCAGGAACTTGCAGGTGGCCCAGTGTGCGTGCAGGTGCCAGGCTGACCTGTAGGGCAGAGAGCGTGGGAGAGGAGGCAGACATCTGGGGGCAGAGCAGCCTGGCTTTCAGGATGGCCTTGCCTGCAGGAGCATCTGCCCTTTCACCTCAGCTGTGCGTGGCAGCAGTGCAAAAGCAGTCCTTTTCCACATGGCACTCTTCCACCTGGTGCACAGCAGGGACCCTAATGTCTCGGCATCTAACTAACAGCAGCCTGAACTTCTAGGTAACATCAGTTTTACAGCACCAGAGGGAGGATAAGAATCATAAAACAGGACTCTAGAGCCCTCAAAGCTTTCTGATGTGAGGATGAACGTCCTGGGTACACACTGGCAGCCCCAGGGGTGTGCGACTCTAGTTCAGTCATGAGGATCTGTTTGTCAGCAAGAAAATCACTTCCAGCAGATGCAAACAGGCCAGAAAAGTACCTCATGCTTCTGGAGCACCCCTGTCCCTAAGGCTGAATAAATCATAGGTGCTGCTTCTCCCTGATAAAGCCCTCCTAAGAGCCACCTTTCAAAGCCTCAGCCACCTCCCCCGTGGGATGGAATCTATCTGCTTTCCAGGGCTGTTCGGGGATAGGGCTTTGGCCCGTATGGAGAAGGGCTTCTTCAGGCCCATGGGACGCAGTGCCTGCTGTCCATTGCCTTCTGTCTTTCCACAGGGATCAGCGTCACCAAGTGTCCTAATCTTACTCAGATTTGGCCCTTCTCCCACACCTAGCAGTCCAGCTAGTCACTTCGGGCAGTGTCTCAGGCAGGGTCTGGGGTTGCAGGCACCAGAAGCTCACTCTACTTACTTCAATCAAAGGGAACTGATTGAAAGTGGGAGTGCGCCTGAGTGAGTGGATGCTGGAGACTGCCTTGAGGCCCCGGGGCAGCCTGCAGAGCCCAGGAGGCGGAGCACAGCTAGGACACGGGTCTCTGGCTTCAGCCCAACCAGGGAAGGGCCCTTCATGACAGTCCTGTGAGGCCACATCTGATGGTGAAGAAAAACAGTGCTATGAGGGACAATGGATGCAGTCAGAACACAGCTACTCACTCATCAGGGGCTTAGACAGAAAGCGGATTCTAGAATGTCCTTTCCTCTTCAGGGCCATGCCTGGCTGAAAGATGACGAAGCGACACACTGTAGGCAGTGTGAGAAGGAGTTCTCCATTTCCCGGAGGAAGGTATGTAGGGCTCCACCCACCCTCCCAGTGCCCTGAGTCATTCATTGCCTGCTGGGATTCCCCTTTCTCTGGTTCCAGAAGCCTGCATCAGACCAGGCTCACTGCCCCATGACTGTGCTCACTGGTTGGCAGATGGGCAGGCCCACCTGTCCTGCTTGCCCATGCAGATGGCTTTCTATCCTGACACCCTTTTTCTAGGAGGCCCTGGCCAGTAATAGGCCCCTGGTCCCCCAGCACATCCTTTCAGTGATTGACAGTGATTTGGGCCGGAGTGGTGGCTCACGCCTCTAATCCCAGTACGTTGGGAGGCCGAGGTGGGTGGATCACAAGGTCAGGAGTTCGAGACCAGCCTGGCCAACATGGTAAAACCCCATCTCTACTAAATATATAAAAATTAGCCAGATGTGGTGGCAGATGCCTGTAATCCCAGCTACATGGGAGGCAGAGGAAGGAGAATTGCTTGAACCCAGGAGGCAGAGGTAGTGGTGAGCTGGGATCATGCCACTGCACTCCAACCTGGGTGACAGAGCAAGACTCTGTCTCCCAAAAAAAAAAGTGATTTGATGGGAGATGGGGCTCCTTGTGTGCAGAGCTACTCTAGAGGAGTGTCACTGAAAATTCTCTGCAGCAGTACTAAAAAATCTGGCCAACTGAGGCAAAAACAGTATTTATGGGGAATCTGCAGGGCAGCAGATCACCAAAAATTCACTGGTGATCTAGGCAGGGTGCTTGCCCCTGCCTTATAGGTTCTGGGAACAAGATCACTCACCCTTGGGTCCAGGGTTAACAGTCTCACCAAGACCAGCTGGGCAGGGGAAGAGTTGGGTTTAAGCAAAACAGAGAGCTAAAGGAAACACTGCCACTGCCACCCCGCTTTCCTGCCACATCCATGTTTTGTCTGGTCCTATTAACAGCCTAGCTCTGTGGAAAAGAGGAAGCCACAGCTCCCCAAGTTTCAGGCAGTGCCTCGCAGTAAGCTCAGAGCTACAAACCATGTCCTGAGGCTGCCTTTGAGATCACATGTGCCGCTCCTGTCTTTGGAGCCACAGGAGCAGAGGCTGCAGAGGTGCTCATCTCAGTGTCTTATTAGGCACCCAGGAAACCTGTTTAGAAAGCCAAAGACCCACTCCCACCACCTTGGAATGCAGCAGTCAAAGAGAATGAACCAGACTCTTAATGTGACATGGACTAGCAGCTCACTGGCTTAGTGATGAAGTACAGCATAAGTCAATTTTTTGTCTTAAAAAAATCCCTATTTGCACAGAGCCCCTCACCACTCCATAGAAACAAATGATACCCTTCTGTGTTGGGAAGCAGGGAGGGTGTGCAGATGGCTTTTCCCTGGGTGTCCCATGACTGCCTTTTTCCTGTTCTCTAGCACCACTGCCGGAACTGCGGCCACATTTTCTGCAACACCTGCTCCAGCAACGAGCTGGCCCTGCCCTCCTACCCCAAGCCAGTGCGGGTGTGTGACAGTTGCCACACCCTGCTCCTGCAGCGCTGCTCCTCCACAGGCTCCTGAGCATCCATCCTTGGGAGCACAGCCTCAGATAGTGCCAAACTCTGGGTCTTCAGAGGCTTGGGAATTGTATGCATTCCCAAGAATCAAAGAATCAAATTCTTGCCTGGCTACTCCAGAAGATATGCCGGAACCAGCAGCTCTCACCTTTCTGTGATTTATAGAGTTAATTCCTCTGGATGGAAACTTCCATTTTACTTGGTCATATCATGGCTCTGGTTCAGATATAACTTCATGACTTTACTACTACCATTTTTCTTCACTTTTCAAAGAATTTAACCTATTTTACAGTTCAGTTCTGCTCATGAGTAATCCATTTTCCTCTCCCACCTCCCTTCTAAAAACCTAATTTGTGCATAGCGTTTGACACACATGGGGTCTTGGAAGTGTGCCTTCTCTGCTTCAGTCAAGAGATCTGCCATTTCATGCCCTTGTGAATACCTATCGTTGGCCCTGCAATAAAATCATTTATTTTTCACTCTGGTGCATGCAGAAGCTTGTTTCAACTTCCATCACACCCTCACCTGCTGCCTCAGAGCAGCCCCTCACGCAGTCAGAGACCCAAGCTGAGTGTGAGCGGGAGGCTGCTGGTGCTGTTCCAGAGCCTGCAGGGCTGGGCCTGGTGAGCCAAAGGTAATTTGCAGTCAGCCTGCCATCAACTGGCAGAAGAAGTGACCCCTAAGTCTGTTGACAAAGTCCAAGAGTAGTTCACCTATGTAATTGGGAGTGTGATTGGTGACAGAGACACCTGTGGAAAAGCATTTGCCAGGCCACTCTTTTTGAGACAGTCTCGCTCCGTCACCCAGGCTGGAGTGCAATGGAGTGATTTCAGCCTCAGCCTTCTAGGTTCAAGTGATTCTCCCGCCTCAGCCTCCAAGTAGCTAGCTGGGATTACAGGTGCCCACCACCATGCCCAGCTACTTTTTTGTACTTTTAGTAGAGATGGGGTTTCACTGTGTTGGCCAAGCTGGTCTGGAACTCCTGACCTTGTGATCCACCCACCTTAGCCTCCCAAAGTGCTGATTACAGGTGTGAGCCATTAACACAGTGCTAGAACTGGCTTCTAGTCCCTCCCTCAGAGCCCCAGACAGGAGCCAATGGCCTAGGGCTCTTAGGGTACAGATAACTGCATTGTCAAGTACAAACAACCAAGTCTTCCAGGCCTCATCCTTATCCACCTTCTATACATATATCTTGCTGACCACCCTACCTTCACTTCCCACAGGCTCCCTACCCTCACCAAATCCAGACCTCAGGTTCCCAGCCTTTCTTTTCCTTTAAAGAGATGGGGTCTCACTATGTTGCCCAGGCTTGAGTGCAGTGGCTTTTCACAGGCACAATCCCACTACTGATCAGCACGGGAGTTTTGACCTGTTCCATTTCCGACCTGGGCCTGTTCACACCTCCTTAGCCAACCTGGTGGCTGTATACAAGTACAAATGGCTGCTGTCCAGATGGCGAGAAGCAATCTCCACCACCCAGGTTTAGGAAAGAGGGAATTCTGACTCTAAACAAGAAGCATGTTTGGGAAAGGGGAATCCCGACTCCAAACAAGTCTCAATTAATGCCTTTTCTCTGCAGTACCTTTACCAGACCAGGGATTGGTGGTTCCAAAGTTTAGTAAAGATGGTAACCTTTACCCAGCCTGAGAAATGAGGGATAGATATTCTGTGCTTCCCATGTCAACTGAAATAGGGGTGAGTGGTCAGGGTTTTGTTGTTTAAAATGCAGATTCTAGCCAGCCACAGTGGCTCACGCCTGTGATCTCAACACTTTGGGAGGCCAAGGCAGGTGGATCACCTGAAGTCAGGAGTTTGCAACAAGCCTGGGCAATGATGAAACCGTCTCTACTAAAAATACAAAAAAAATTAGCTGGGCCTGGCAGCAGGCACTTGTAATCCCAGCTACTCAGGAGGCTGAGGCAGGACAATTACTTGAACCCAGGAGGCAGAAGCTGCAGTGAGCCAAGATTGCACCATGCACTCCAGCCTGGGCAACAAGCAAAACTTTATCTCAAAAAAAAAATAAAATGCAGATTCCAGCTGACAGGGTCAGGAGGTTGAGTCACTGCAGACAAGCTATGGAGCACAAGATTCCAAAGAACCATAATGCTTCTAGACTCCTTTCTGAGATGAAGTTTCACTCTTGGTGCCCACCCAGGCTGGAGTGCAATGGCACAATCTCAGGTCACTCCAAACTCCGCCTCCTGGGTTCAAGCGATTCTTCTGCCTCAGCCTCTGGAGTAGCTGGGATTACAGGCACGTGCTACCACACCCAGCTTGTTTTGTATTTTTAGTAGAGATTGGGTTTCTCCATGTTTGTCAGGCTGGTCTCAAACTCCCGACCTCAGACTCCGAAAATGCTGGAATTGGTATTACAGGCATTGGACAGTTTCCCTCATCACCTAGACTAGAGTGCAATGGCAAGATCTCAGCTCACTGCAACCTCCACCTCCCAGGTTCAAGCAATTCTCCTGCCTCAGTGTCCCAGTAGCTGAGATTACAAGTGTGCGCCAACACGCCAGGCTGATTTTTGTACTTTTAGTAGAGATGGGTTTTCACTGTGTTGGACAGACTGGTCTTGAGCTCCTGACCTCAGGTGATCCACCCACCTCAGCCTCCCAAAGTGTTGAGATTACAGGTGTCAGCCACTGCACCTGGCCTAGACTCGTTTCTTAAAAGCCATAGGGCTCTGGATTTAGCTTACTACTACTCCAAGTTCCTTCTTATTAGTCCCTTCTCTAACAGGGCAAGTTTTATCCCTAAATGTACCAGTTAACTAAAGGACCCAGAGAAGGAACCTTCAAGCTTTCTCAACACTGGGCCTCAATACCAAACTACATTAACCCAACAAGATTTCAGGCGCAGCACCAGGCTTAGAACACAGCTCAACTCTCAACACTGCCTGCCCACTGAGAACTGCTGCTCTCTCTAGACATGCCTAAGACAAAACAAAGAATACATTCCAGACCTTTCCCTCCGCTGGTTTCCAGTCCTGGTAAGGCACGCAGCCAAGGTAGGATCTGCAAGCCCCTCCTGCTGCCCATGTCTCCTGTATGCACTGCTTCTGTGGGCAGATGGTTAGAAACAACCAACACTAAGCCCCACTCTGTCCACCCTACCTAGCCCTACCCCAAAAACTCAAGAACAGCTTCTGTGTAAACCACAGGAAGAGAAAGCTTATCCACACTTTGCTTTAAAGGGCACAAGCCTATGTTATGTGACAGCCTAGCTTGGACTCTACATTCTGAATCCATTATCAGGGACTTTGAATCTAAAGGGATGAAATAGTGGCAGTTCCTAAACTGCAGTGCCCCTAAGCATCTACTGAAGGAACTCTGCAATCACACTTTCCAAGTTGCTTTAAAGCAACTTGAATACTTGCTAGCATGTTGGCGCTCCAAACTACCATAAAGGGGATACATTTGAAGAGTTCATTTAAACCAGTCATGTTTGCTCTCAATCACTACCTATCATTCTACCTGAAGAGGTTTAAATGGAATTTTGACCCCAATTGGAACTGATTTTTAGAAATTAGCCCAAAACATAAAGTTCAAAACCTCAATTTGAAAACCATCTGTGAAGGCTGGACATGGTGGCTCATGCCTGTAATCCCAGCATTTTGGGAGGCCCCCCCAAGGTCAGGAGTTGGGAGACCAGCCCGGTCAACATGGCGAAACCCCGTGCCTCAATTAATACAAAAATGAGGTGGTGGGCACACGCCTGTAACCCCAGCTAGAGAGGCTGAAACAGTAGAACTGCTTGAGCCCAGGAGGTGGTGGTTGCAGTGAGCTGAGACTATGCCACTGCAATGCAGCCTCAGCTGACATTGACACTCCACCACAAATAAATCTTCCGTGAGCTAGCTCCTTCTAGAAGGCACCCGCATATTCATCACACCTCCCTTGCCTCTGGCAACTTCCCAGCCATGCACAAAGTCCTCCTAGACATGCAGGCCATGCAGTGAGGGCACTGGTGCCTCCCGCTTTGCTTCGTGCAAGTGCTTAAAACGTTATAGGCAGTTCAGATCAGGTCCTGTGCAGCCAAATGACATACAGCCCCTCCACAAGGGCCCCAAAGCTGAGTTTACCTTCAGTTGCACTGGAGGGAAGAACAGCCTCAGCTACCAAGCCTCTCTGCCACAGCCAGAGATGTGGCCCTTGGCCCCAGGTGGGCACAGAGGACCAAGACTCACTCCACATGACACTGAAGCAGACAGTGCAGTTTTTAAAAGGAGGATTTATTTGACAAGTTTCACTTAGCGCAATATACCTAAAAGGAAATCACAATACAATGAAAGATTTAAATCAAGGCCTCAGAATTTCATACAAACACCAAGACCAAAATCCTGAAGGACTGGTATTGCGTCTCAAATTTTTCCCATTAACTTAAAAAAAGCTTAAACTTACGTGCCTTACAGGTTATTAAATGAAACTAGAATTAACAAACATGCCAAAATGTTTCACTTTTAATTGTAGACACAGCTCCTATATTGAGTTTAAAAAAAAAAAAAGCATGTCTTTCAACATGCATCTGAACAGTGTTCAATGCAAAGGGTAACACTTAATATAATTCAACTGCTTTTACCTAAATACGCTTACTGCTTAAGTATATCCTACAATATAACTAACTTGAGAAAAGTTGGAACTTGTTTAACAGTTATAGTTTACTCAGCTTCACTCATATCCTAGATAAGTATTGTATTCAAAAATACTGAGCCCCAAGTCTTCATAAGAATCCTGATTTCCACTTAAAGAGAAAGCATAAATCACAAGCTTGTATTACAGAAACTGTTAAACTGAAGTTTTGTTTTTTCTTTAAAAAAAAAAGTTGACCAAGAGTCAGTGATCAGGATCAATCAATTACATTCCCCATCCACCACTCATACTGGACATGCTAGACATCCCTCCCATTCCATTCACGCCCAAAGATGCACGGCTTCCACTACTGTAGTAGCTGCTGTTCATTGCTCCTTGGCTACCTGCAAAGAGACCAATTTGACAAGTTAGAAGTAATGTCAGACTATCAGTCAAATAAAATATAGTATTACAAAAAAAAGTTTAAAAATATACGAGTATAAATGGCTGCTGTCCAAGTGGCGAGAAGCATGTTTGGGAAAGGGGAATCCCACTCCAAACAAGTCTCAATTAACCCCTTTTCTCTGCAGTACCAACTTGCCAGACTCTTGTGCTACCATGTTAACGAAATTCAGGATCAACGTGAAAAATTAAGTTTAAAGGAAAACTAGTGTTTTTCAAAATTGCAAAATTACTTCATATTTTTAAAGCTAAACAAGGCATTTAAAAAAAATTTACCATAAACATTCACAATGTGTCCCTCAAATGACATGAGAATAGGGAGCACAGGGGAAATCTCTCGCTTTTCCTATTCATGGTGGGCAAAAGTGAGACAACTAAGTTGGACTAAAGGCAACTCACTGTGCCCAAATGGCAGCCTCGGTTAAGTCAGAGCCATTGACTGCTATAAAAAGTGTTATTACAACATATCAGTATTTGCTATTGGGAATTTAAATTATATTTTTTGAGAAAATATTTACCTATGCAATGTTTGATTGAAAATCACTGGAGTTTTCCTGTAAAACTTGGTCTGCAAAAGGATTTTGTAGGGTAAGACTATAATACCAAAATCACCATTTAGACCAATTGAAAAAAATAAAACCAATCCTAGGTTAACAACTGACTAATAAATACGATCCTGAACCCAACCACCATTCTATTTAAAATTCTCCCTCCATCTAAAATTGATTTAAAGCTAACCAAAAGACAAAAAAGTGAACAACTTTAATGTTTTAATAAATGGAGGCAGATATTTTCTGGCTCGACAGTATTCCAAAGCTGCAATAACTAGTTTTTAATTCACAAAACACGTCCCCCTCCCAATGATTGTTTCTGGAAATTAAACTAAAAAAAGTTTACATATGAAGCATACATTAAACAACCCAATTTCACCAAAATGGAGCCTGCATGTATTCCCAACTAAAAAAAACCTGCCTAAAACTTATTCTAAGTATATTTAAAAAAATGCTTACCGTATCCACTCATGCTGCTCTGGCCACCATAGCCGCCTCCATAACCACCACTCAGCTGCTGGCTGGCTGGGCCACCATAACTGGACTGGTTTGCTGTTAAGTTAAGAAAACATTAGATCCTTGCTCCTTATGTAATGTGGTACCTGGTGGTACCGGGCTTGTAATTCTCTATCTATGATTTTCCAGTCTTGATCTTCTATTACTATAACCCTCTGCCTCCTTCTGCCTATTGTCTATAACCAGGCTGCCCTTCTATCCATCATTTGAGCTAATCAAGTATTTATAAACCAAAGTGCTAACGGTATACACATCGGCAGGACTAAAATTCACGATTCCATTAGTTAGAGGCATTTTGTGAAGATCTTATGAAATTGCTTGACTGGATTTAGTGGGGTTTCCCCTTAGTTTGATATATCAAGGTATGTTCAATATAAAGGTTTATCAGTTAACACCTAATTTATCTTAATTAGACTTTATACTCAGAAAATTTCAGTAATTTCACTCCATAGGTCCCTCCCCCAAGAGTACTTATATCTAATTTGAATTATCTATCCTAAGCAACTTCATAGTACACAAGGTTTAAGCCAGATACAAAATTCATTCAAATATCAAGAAACTGCTTTCTTTGCCTAAGTTTGTTATACTAAACTCATTAAATAGATTAACTTAACTTATAATTGACTTATACAGATATAAACGTTTTGGTTTTTAAAAAAACTAACGATATTTACACAAGCCCATGCCTCCCATCATTTGGCTACCATAAGCACCACCGCTTGCTCCTGCTGTAGAATTCAAGAAGAGTTCTACATATCTGTGTTCTGAAATGAGAGAAAAGGCATACAAGGTTAGCTTAAAAAAAGGACACTAAAGTGATATTTACACAAACCCATGCCTCCTAGCATTTGGCTACCGTAAGCACCACCGCTTGCTCCTGCTGTAGAATTCAAGAAGAGTTCTACATATCTGTGTTCTGAAATGAGAAAAAAAAAGTTTGAAAATGTTTGTTGGTGAAAGAAAACAGGATAAGCACTTTTTAAACACGTAGATCTATGAACTTCAAATACTTGGGCAAAGACTTGTTACTTCTCTTAGGTGATCTTTATAACTTCAAAATCTAGCCTTTACATATTCATCTATATTGTCAATAAAGGATATATACTTCAAGATGTAAGATGTGTATCACAAATCTGTTAAACTAATTTTTAAAAACCAAACCTTTAACACACCCCACCCTGTTCCCCAAGAATCAATCTATTACTGGAAAGGAAACTTCTCATATATTATTTTTCTATTCCTCTATTGTAAATGTTAGTCACACAATCACCTAAGAATGAGCCCATAAGTGCTCAATCACACTTACGCATATTTGCTTTGTCTTTTGACATAGCTGCCACAGCATCTTCATGAGTTGCAAACTCGACATCTGCTTCACCAGTTACTCTGCCATCAGGACCAATTTCAATGTGTACTCTCACAGGATTGAGTGGTGAAAAAAACTACAACACAAGGCAGTTCAAAAAACTGAATCAACTTCCTAACGTTACAAAATGAAACTAAAATCTCTAACATGGTGTTCCCTTTATAGTACAATAAAGTTGAGACTTTTACTGTCATACTGAAATACTGACTTGTGAGTTCCGTCTTACACTTACATTGTAAATGTCATTCTCAGTAGCTCTGTAAGGTAATCCACGCATGTGTACACAGTGTCCTGTTGTGCTCTGGAAAGTAGAGCCACCATCCCCGTATCTGTGATCAGACATTCCTGAAAAACAGTAATTGAGGTCTAGATGGACAAGAGTGTAAGCATCCTTCAACTGAGAAATTCAATTCTTACCTTACCTCTTCCAAATCTATCTGACCCAAATCCATAGCCATCATTATAGCCATTGTAATCATCATAGCCTCCATAGCCTGAAAGACAAAAAAAAATGTACCATCAATCAAACACAACACCTACACAAAGGAACTGACTTGCCAAACCTTAAGAATCCTCACGCACCTCCACCATAAGCACCACGCCTCATCCTTTCAAAGCCTGCTCCTCTGCCAATGCTGTTATATCCTCTGCCAGCCCCAGGTCTGTCATAGGGACCTGGCCGCTGCATGGCCATAAGCTTTCGTGGTGGGTCATAGTGAGTTCTAACTTCAGCTCTACTGCTCTTAAAGATTTCAATATACCTAAAGCATTGTTCATAAGGAAGGGGTAGGGAGGGGAGAGAGAACATTAGTTCATTTTATACAGGTATTTAGTTATACAAGAAAACAATCTAGTCACAGCCATGAAACTGACTAATATTTAGAGCCAGATTTCTTATATTTGCATAGGCAATGACCAGAAATCCACTCAATAAATAGTAAGACTTAATGTATACTTTATAGGAAAAAAAAAACTCACTCCTCTGAGGCAGAGCCCAACCTTAGGGGTAAGAGAGGAGTACTGTATATAAATGTTTTAGGAGGGAAATAATTCCACTCAACTTTCAACATTTCAAGTCTTAAATCCATTGGCAGCATGTATAGCAAGTGGGCTAAAAAGCCAGTCTCCACCAACAGTCTAGCCCACACTACACATTTCCTTTCGCCAATAAATATCCCAGCCTATGCTTTTAGTAAGAATCAGCATAGGTAAGCGCATGCTTCAATGAAAAATAGTCACAAGCAAAGAGAATAAAACCTTTTGTGACAATTTCTTGAAAGCTATGCTTATTAATACTATGCAGAATATTTATATACAGCAAGAAAAAGTTTGTTGCATTTCAACTTTAAAAACAAGATCAGAAAGTATCACAATTTCTTATGGTAATATTAATTTACTAGGTGGTTGTTATTACAGCTAAAGCGAGGTTTGCATTAATTTTTTAAAGCCATAGTCTCTCAACTCTATTGGGGTTAATAAGACTCACAAAATTGTAAAGTAGACCAATTAACTAGGGACAAATTTTAAACCTAAAATTTAGTTTTCATATGACATGGGACTCTGACACAGGAAGTTTAGAAATCATGGCAAAACATCAATTAACTAGGACTACAAAACATTAATTTCTTCTTTTAAGCAGAGAGAATATGGATTTAATTATTTACCATAAGAAAAGTGACATATCCAACCAACCATCCATCCCCACCTGTGCCCTATTCTTTCCTTGTGTTTCTTTAGAGCCTTTTCAGCTATTTCCTGTGAAGCAAACTGCACGAAGGCCTCCCCCGTACTCCTCCCCTGGAAGTCCACCGGCAATGTTATCCCATTTGGCACGATTTCCAACCCTTCAACCCAAGGACAAATAACCCCAGTAGGGGGGCAATATTAACATCACAAGCCCAGAAATGATTCTTCTTATAGCTTTAAATAAACCAGAATTTTTAACTTTAGGTGAATGGTATGCTTTCAACAAGTACTCTTTAAATATGCATTTCAATAATATGAAGTTCCATTATTACAAAATATAACTATTCTTAACACACCCATGGTACAGTATATATTTTTTTAAAACCAACTTGCTGAACACAGGATGCATTAAGAATTCAACTTAAGAACACGTATCAATACAACTAACTTAATGTTGAGAATTATACAAAAATTCAATTAAGTTTTAAGCATTAAACAGTTTTACTAAATTCAAAACACCTTTTACCTCATTTTATATTTCAATGCTTTAAGTTATTGGAACTTCAGCTTTTAAAAAAGGTACACATTTAAACATTTCATATAAAAACTGAAAACATTAAATCATTATTGACAAACATAACAATCTAAATTTTCAACAAAACTGATCTACACCAGACAATCATGCTTGCTTATGCTCTAACAGTAGTATGATTCACTTCTGGAAATTCCGTCTATGAAAAATCCTTTCCGTGGATACATTCTCAAGCTTACAAAAAGGACTTAAAGCACTTTCCTAGAAGATATGAAATTATGTTCATATTTAACGTTGACAGATAGCATTCAATTCTCACCAATGTAGATTAAAAACAAAACAGACGATTTTAAAAATTCTGACATTAGGACTTTATACATATATAAATTTCTAATATACAATAAACCATGAAAGGACTTCTTGCTTCCAGTTTATCACATCATAAATATTAATACTTAAAACATAAGATATCTAACATTCTGTTAAACATGCAATCTTATCAGCTCTTCAGCATAAAAACATTCAAATACTTTAGGCCCACAAACAATTTCAACACTTGTTACTTCAGATACTGAAACTACAAGCATTCAACCTACTCTCATTACATCTGATTTTCAATAAGTTTGTAACACACTGGTTAAACCAAGTCTTTCATAATAGACTTTTGCATTAAAGAGAATTAAGACCATTAGAAGAGATGTTTCTGGTCCCATGACCCAAGCGTCTCTTGCAACACAGACACCTGCCATAACTTACAACAACCTAATTCATCATACTAATCTGATGTTAAGGGATCTTACCTTTAACTTGAGGTACTTAGCTGGACAGCAATGTGAGGAAAGTAGTTAAGCTGTTGAGGGCAATCCTCAATGAAAGATCTACTCTGAACTATAATACTAAATATAGGCAAAGTTAACATTTTGGAAGTATTTCATTTCCACCTTTAAGATGGGCTTAAATTATTTGAAGGTCTCTAGGAAGAAAATATTGGCATAAATTTACAACCTAGTTAAAGACCTAAGCTACTCAACTTTAAAGTTTATTAAATCACCTTGCCAGAAGCTAGCCAAAACTCACTGCTCAGCAACAAACAGGACTACATACCTGAGAAGAACTGAACAATTTCTTCCTTGCTACATCCAAAGGGAAGTCCTCTAAGACGTACAAAGCCATCATTGGCCGTGTCAGGACTATTTGGACCAGTATGCTTCAACACCCAATCCATTTCAACGTTGTTTGACTTGAATACTGAAAGAGGTGCTTAGAATTAGTCAATTTTGGAAAATTAGATATCGAAGTTCAGACTTCCTGGGTCTTTAGATAAGCTAGGAAGAGCTGCCACAAACTCCCTTAGATGACCATTTCCATGCGGTCAAATACCTAAAATTCAGAAGGGGTAAGACCTCTATATGCAACGCTTTATTTACTGTTACTAGGGCAACGTAAATCAAACCTTCAACATATCTGTGTCCCATAGTTTCTCTGTCTTTTTTCAGGGCCAATTTGACTTCATCTTCTGATTCAAGTTCAACAAAAGCCTCGCCACTCGGTCTGCCTTCTCTGGTGTAGATGAAACGAATACCTTGAGCCCCATTTTGAATTTTGCAGTCTGGAAAGAAAACAACCGTTAATACAGAATTTAAAACCTAAAACCACCTCTGGGTGACACAGATGAAATACCTATTCCATGTCCCCCACGCCAAAAATTACATTAACTTGTGAAGACTATAATGACCACGGTATCACCAACTCCTAGAATGCCAATTAAAAAAGAAATCTCATTCCCAAGGGGATCTATTTCCAACCCATCAACATCCAATATTCAAAGCAGTTACAGAATGAATTTCTCTTTTGAGTCCTTGTTACTCATGTCTCCATCACAAATCTTTTATCAATTTCTCAGAATACTATCAAGTCTGTACTTTGTGACTTTATGGCAAACATACTTCGTTGTGAGTTGTTTTGGTCTGGTGCATTTGTCAGTTTTACTTTACCAGCAGCGACATTACGGTTTCTCATTCAAATCCAAATTGCAGGCCCAATACTAACCTGAAAGGGAATCAGTGTTACCAAGCTAAAATGCTCCAAGCTGCACAGCTGCAGCCAAACCCAGTGTTGCCCCCTGCAAGGTGGCTTCCAGTGTACTTGGTTCTTGTTTTACAGGTCGTTTTCCATTACCAACGCTAAATTCAGATAGTAAGTCAACACTACAAACGTCTTACCAAAAGCTGTCAATTTCATCCAAATAGAATTTCATCAGTCTAAACTAATTTCTTTTCCCCAGTCTAATGCTGCGAACAAGAACATTCTGATAGAAAATACTCAGGAAAACTGTGTACTGGAAAAAAATTTACACAGGCAAGAAAACTTCCCTGGGCTTCAGCGTCTTCAACTGTATAGAGAGCCATATCAAGAACTAGACTAGCAAACACATCTCAATTACCAAATCTTGATTAGGAAAACCGAAATTAAGACGTGACACTTTAACTTTCCGAAGCAGAATGCTCATTTTCAAGGAAACACCGAAACTGTAAACAAGAGGTTACACTTCAAGATATTCCAAAACATTACAATTTGTCTAATCACTCGGGAGATTTTTCTCAAGATTCAAGAAGAAATCCCATCTATGCCAATTTATCCTTTCCAAAAGATACCCAGACAGGGAGCAGTGGCTCACGCCTGTAATCCCAAGCACTTCTGGGAGGCCGAGGCAGCCGATCATTTCAGGTCAGGAGTTCGAGACCGGCCTGTCCAATATGGTGAAACCCCCGTCTCTACTAAAAATACAAAAAGATGGCCGGGCGTGGTGGTTCACGCCTGTAATCCACGCACTTTGGAGGCCAAGGCGGGCGGATCACCTGAGATCGGGAATTCAAGACCAGCCCAACCAACATGTTGAAACCCCGTCTTAAAAAAGAAAAAGAGTACAGTAAGTTAGCCAGGCATAGTGACACACGCCTGTAATCCCACCTATTCCGGAGCCTGCGGCAAGGAGAATCGCTTCAACCCGAATCGCAGTGAGCCGAAAACGGAAAAAAAAAAGAAGAGCTGGTGTTCAAAGGCAGGTAAAGAAAACAAGTCTACCAGATCGGCAGCACTCCAAGAAACAGGAAGGCGGCGGGGCTTTCGAAATTTCCATTGCGTAACAGCGGTCGGCGGGGCGCGAACAGCACAGCGGGAACTGCAGTCATCCGCGCCACGCCAGGGGGCGCCCCGAGTCCCGCCCGGCCCGCCCCAGCCCGGCTGCCCGCCAGCCCGCCCGCCAGCCCGCCCGCCCAGGCCTCGAACTCGAACTCCCGCGTTCTAGTGGTAACTCACCAGAAAAAAACCTCTGCACTTCATCGGCCGAGCAAGACCAGGGCAACCCCCGGACCTTCACCACGAATCCCTCTCCACCTTCGGTGCCCAACATCATTGTCTCTTACGCGGTCCGACGTCGAAACAAACTGCAAGGCGGGGAGGAGGACCAGACCTGAGAGCGTCCATTAAGCTGTGCTCCGCCCCCGATGTGCCCCCCCGGGCCCGCGCCACCCGCCCTACGGAGCAAAAACCGGGCGGATGCACCCACCCCGGCGACTCCAACACCCAACACTTCCTCGGCCAGCGAGCGGACCCCCAAAGCTGCTCTGGGGAGCAGCTGTCGGCGCTCCGAACCCTGGGGGCGGGGGTCGAGAGCCAGCGTGGAGACAAGGAAATGGCGGCGGCCGCTTCCGCTCCGCCTCCTCCGACTTCTCACACAATAGAGTCCGCGCGGCCTGCAGGCCTCGGCGGCGGTGCTGGGATTCAGCGAACAACTTTCGGTTCTCGATGGCTGCCCGCAGCTAGCCAAGATCCCCGCAGCCCTCCCAGAGGTCGGGAGGAAAACAATCCTAGCAAAAACGGACCCCACAGCGGGGGTCGCTGGACAGCTAGGGAGGACCGACCGCAACTCACCCTGACACCCAACTCCAGCGTGGGTAAGACGAAATGGCCAACAGGCGCTTGCGCAACCTAAATAAGGCCCTTTGTGCGAGCTCTGCGCACGCGCAGCCAGCTGCTCGCCCCGCCCCCTTGCGTCACAAAGAGCTCTGACGCATGCGTAACTTCAAGAATCAGCCTACCTCCGGTTGGTAGATTATTACACGCCTGCGTTTTGGACTCAGCACCCCCACCCATTAACCCGCCGGGCTTTTTATTGCGCCTGCGCTTGATCGCGAATATTGAACTTGGAGCCTCAGCGGTTTATAATTGTTTCTTGCGCATGCGTCTTCCTTGAAACCGTTCTCTAGCGTTACCCGCCAACGTGGGGGAGGGGAATGGCGCCGCCAGTTCCCTATGGGGCTGTATAGGAGTCCCGACCTCTGGGTTGTGATGAGGTGGGCGTCTTTCTACCCCTTACCCCCAGTCTTACCGGGGCGCTCCTGGCCGACCTGAAAGGAGGAGCGCGGCCTTCGGGTGTTCCCACTCCCCGCGCCGCCTGTCTCCCCTTTATCCCAAAGCTGGCCGGAGCTGATCAGCTGCAGATTGCCGAGCGTCTTGGGAACTATAGGGCTGCGGACGTCCAGCACCCGAAGCCTCCCGGATGGTGCCTGGGGCACGCCCCAGCCGTGTGTGCCTCCACTTCCCCTTACCTGCCGTCGTCGGGCCTAGGGCGCTGGTCGGCGCGGGGTTCCCGTGCCTGTGGCTCGCGCCTGTACCCCGCTTTTGCCTAACGAACTTGCATCCTTTGTACCTCTTGACCCACCTCCGGGTCGGCGGGCCTGGAACGCCCTGGGGCCCTGGCACGAGGACGGGTCGCCGGGTACTGCCTCGCGAGCGCGATCTCCTCTACGGGTGCGTGCCGGCCTCTGTGCTGGGATAGGCTCCGGCTGAATCATCCCAGCGCTGAATTGGTAACAGTGCGTGATTCCCCAGGTGGAGACCCTGCATTCGAGGCCCCTGGGTCACCCGGTGTGCACATAGGCTGCGAGATGAGTAATGTTCGTGGTTTCTAGCAGCACTGCCCAAAACCGAAGACTCCAGAGCTTCCCAGGCCTCCCTCTGTCTAATCTGGCTGCCCTCTTCACCCCAGCTCTCGTGGACACAGGCAATAAATTAACCATAAGGTAGTGTTGGACCCTGCCGCAGGGCTAACTCAGGTAGTGCAGGCCTGAGTGCCACCCTCGGAAGATTCGGGCAAAGCATGTTTCCAAACCCAGTGCCACAGAGGCCGAATCCAGTTTTGACAGGTTTGAGGAAAGTAGAGAGGACATCCAAAGAAACACAGGAGCCCAGAGCTAAGGAGGGCCTGATCTTCAAAGGCCACTTCGGCCTTGGCAAGGGTGTTAACTGCAAGTCCTGTATAAAGGAAAAGTCTTGCTGGATGTGAGGGAGACGCAAATAGAGAGCAGGCAGAGGGAATGATGGTACATGCCATGCACTCTGCTGCAAACAGAACTAGAAGCACATACCTGTGGTACCATTTCAGAAGGCACTGTGGCTGAGGTCATCAGAAAGAGAGACTCCCACCAGGTGCAGTGGCTCAGACCCGTAATCCCAGCACTTTGGGAGGCTGAGGCAGGTGAATCACTTGAGGTCAGGAGTTGGAGACCATCCCGGCCAACATGGTGAAACCCTACCTCTACTAAAGATAACAAAAATCAGCCAGGTGTGGTGGCATGTGCCTGTAATCCCAGCTACTCAGGAGGGCTAGGCAGGAGAATTGCCTGAACCCAGGAAGCAGAGGAAGCGGTGAGCAGAGATCACACCACTGCCCTCCAGCCTGGGCAACAAAGCAAGACTCCAACTCAAAGAAAACAAAACAAAAATTAGCCAGGCATGGTGGCGCTTGCATGTAATCCCAGCTACTTTGGAGGCTGAGGCAGGAGAATTGCTTAAACCCAGGAGGCAGAGGTTGCAGAGAGCTGAGGTCACGCCATTGCACTCCAGCCTGGGCAACAAGAATGAAACTCCATCTCAAAAAAAAAAAAATACTAGTGAGGTAGAATAAATTTCATACATTTATAGCCAATTCTCTTTTACATAAATTGTCCAACTTACGTAAAAAAGGTTTTTTAATTTTTATTTTTATTTTCCTTTTTTTTTTTTTCTGAGACATGGCCTCACTCCGTCACCCAGACTGGAGTGCAGTAGTGCAAACATGGCTCACCACAACCTCTACCTCCTGGGTTCAAATGATCCTCCTGCCCCAACCTCCTGAGTAGGTAGACCACAGGCATGTGCCACCTTGCTCAGATAACTTTTTTATTTTTTTGTAGCAATGGCATCTTACATTGTTGCCCAGGCTGGTCTTGAACTCTTGGGCTCAAGGAATCATCCCACCTCAGCCTCCCAAAGAAACGTACTAGGATTACAGGTGAGAGCCACCATGTTTGGTCATGAAAGAAGGTTTTTTTGTTTGGTTTTGTTTTTGAGACAGTCTCACTCCGTCATCACCCAGGCTGGAGTGCAGTGGTGCAATCTTGCCTCACTGCAACCTCTGCCTCCCAGGTTCAACCAATTCTCGCGCCTCAGCCTCCCAAGTAGAAGTATTACACGTTTGCCACCACACCTTGCTACTTTTTAAAAGTTTTTAGTCCAGATGGGGTTTCACCATGTTGGCCAAGCTGTTCTGGAACTCCTGGCCTCAAGTGACCTGCCCACCTGGCCCCCCAAAGTGCTGAGATTAGGGGCATCCGCCACCATGCTCGGGCAAAGGTTTTTTTAATATAAAAAGTTCATAATCAGGCTGGGTGAAGTAGCTCATGTCTGTAACCCCAGCACTTTGAGAGGCCTATGCAGGTGGATCACAAGGTTGGGAGTTCAAGACCAGCCTGACCAACATGCTGAAACCCTGTCTCTACTAAAAATTTAAAAAATAGCCAGGTGTGGTGGCATGTACCTGTAATTCTAGCTACTCAGGAGGCTGAGGCAGGAGAATCATTTGAACCCAGGAGGTGGAGGTTGCAGTGAAATGAGATCATACCACTCCACTCAAGCCTGGGCAACAGAGCAAGACTCCGTCTCAAAAAAAAAAAAAAATAGTTCATCATCTTGCCTCATTGATCTTACTGTCTTGGTATACATCTTATACTTTACAGAGCTCTTTTTTTTTTTTTTTTTTTTTGAGACAGAGTTTTGCTCTTGTTACCCAGGCTGGAGTGCAATGGCGCGATCTCGGCTCACTGCAACCTCCACCTCCTGGGTTCAAGCAATTCTTGCAATAGCTGGGATAGACTGAGCACAGTGGCTCACACCTGTAATCCCAGCACTTTCGGAGGCTAAGGTGAGTGGATCACTTGATGTCAGGAGTTTGAGACAGCCTGGCCAACATGGTGAAACCCAGTCTCTACTAAAAACACAAAATTTAGCTGGGCATGGTGGTGGGCACCACCACCAGCTACTCAAGAGGCTGAGGCAGGAGAATCACTTGAACCCAGGAGGTGAAAGTTGCAGTGAGCAGAGATCCTGCCACTGTACTCCAGCCTGGGCAAGGGAGAGAGATTCCCACTCAAAAAAAGGAAAAAAAAAAAAACAACAAATAGCTGGGATTACAGGTATGCACCATCACACTCAGCTAATTTTTGTATTTTTAGTAGAGATGAGGTTCACCATGTTGGCCAGGCTGGTCTGGAACCCCTGACCTCAAGTGATCTGCCCACCTCAGCCTCCCAAAGTGCTGGGATTACAGATGTGAGCCACTGCACCCAGCCTATGATTGGTTTTTAATGTTTAGACATGTAGAAGTTTTAAATTTTGAGATGTCAAAGCCATGGATGTGTTCCTTTGAGATTTGTCTTGAAGCTTAGAAAGTCCTTTCCCATCCAGAGATTAAGCACATATTCGTTATCTTTGGTATCATTTGTAAGACACATTTTGTACAATTTAACCTCAATAAGATAGGAATGTGTTTTATTTTCTTCTTACTACTTTTTTTGAAATGGAGTCTCTCTCTGTCACCCAGGCTGGAGTGCAATGCTTTGGCCTCAGCTCACTGCAACCTCGGTTTTCTGATTCGAGTGATTTTCCTCCCTCAGCCTCCAGAGTAGCTGGGATTATGGAAGAGCACTACCATGTGCAACTCATTTTTGTGTTTTTAGTAGAAACAGGATTTAGTAATGTTGGCCTCAGGTGAGCTGCCTGCCTCTGCCTCCCAAAGTGCTGGGATTACAAACATGAGCCACCATGCCTTGACCAGGAATATGTTTTTTTCTGTTTTTGTTTCTTTTTTCTTTTTTTTTTGAGATGGAGTTTCGCTCTTGTTACCTAGACTGGAGTGCAATGGCGCGATCTTGGCTCACAGCAACCTCCGTCTCCTGGGTTCAAACAATTCTCCTGACTCAGCCTCCTGAGTAGCTGGGACTACAGGCGCGCGCCACCATGCCCAGCTAATTTTTTCGTTTTTTTTTTTTTTTTTTGAGACGGAGTTTCACTCTTGTTACCCAGGCTGGAGTGCAATGGTGCAATCGCGGCTCACCACAACCTCCGCCTCTTGGGTTCAGGCAATTCTCCTGCCTCAGCCTCCTGAGTAGCTGGGATTACAGGCGTGTGCCACCATGCCCAGCTAATTTTTTGTATTTTTAGTAGAGATGGGGTTTCACCATATTGACCAGGATGGTCTCGATCTCTTGACCTCGTGATCCACCCGCCTCGGTCTCCCAAAGTGCTGGGAGGGCACCACCGCGCCCGGTCTGTTTTTGTTTCTTTGTTGTTGTTGACAAGGAGTCTCACTCTGTTGCCCAGGCTGGAGTGCAAGGGCATGATCTCATCTCACTGCAACTTCCTCCTTCCTGGTTCAAGTGATTCTCCTGCCTCAGACTACCAAGCAGCTGCGATTACAGGCACTTGTCACTACGCCCAACTAAAGTTTGTACTTTTAGTAGAGACGGGTTTCACCATGTTGGACAGGCTGGGCAAGAACTCCCAATCTCAGGTGTTCCACCTACCTTGGCCTCCCAAAGTGCTGGGATTATAGGCATGTGCCACCTCACCCGGCCAAAAATTTGTTTTAAAACCAACGATGTCGGCCAGACATGTTGGCTCACACTTGTAATCCCAGCACTTTGGGAGGCCGAGGCAGGAGGATTCCTTGAGCCCAGGAGTTCAAAACCAGCCTGAGACTAAGCACAGTGGCTCATGCCTGTAATCCCACACTTATGGAGGCAGAGGCGGGCGGGTCACATGAGGTCAGGAGTTCAAGACCAGCCTGGCCAACATGGTGAAAACCCATCTCTAATAAATTATTGCTTTTGGCAAAGATCAAGTATAGTAAAAATAGATAAATTAGCTGGGTGTGGTGGCGCATCCCTGTAATCCCAGCTACTCAGGAGTCTTGAGGTGGGAAGTTGGCTTGAACCTGGAGGCAGAGGTTGGAGTAAGCCAAGATTGCACGACTGCACTCCAGCCTTGGAAACAGAGTGAGACTCTGCCTCAAAGAAAAAAAGAAAAGCAATCATAACACTGCTGGGCATGGTGGCTCACACCTGTAATGCTAGCACTTTGGGAGGCCAAGGCAGGCAGATTACTTGAGTCAAGGGGTTTGAAGCAAGCCTGGAGACAACAGGCCAAACCCCATCTCTCTAAAAAAAAAAAAAAATACAAAAATTAGCCAGGCACAGTGACAAAAAAAATAATAATATGTTGCCCAGGCTGGCGGGCAGTGGCATGATCTTGGCTCTCTGCAACCTCCTCTGGGCTCAGGTGATCCTCCTGCCTCAGCCTCCCAACAAGTAGCTGGGACTATAGGCATATGCCACCATGCCAGTCTAATTTTTGTATCTTTAGTAGAGATAGGTTGGCCAGGCTGGTCTGGAACTCCTGAATGCAGGTGATCTGCCCACCTTGGCCTCCCAAAGTGTTGGGATTACAGGCAAAGAGCCACCATGCCGGCCAGAATCTTTTCATGGTGGTATAGATAATAATAGTGGAACTT